CCCCATCCAACTCTCATGCCAAACCCCCATAACCTCATCCCCCTCATACTTCAACCTCCACCACTGACAACCATTCCGTCCCAACCTCCTACTCCTTCCTTTTCTCGCACATAAATTCCAAAAATGCGCTTTACAGAATTTTAGGGGCACCCATTGGGAAGGGAAACATGTTCCGTGGATTGAAGCGTGAGCTGAGCCTGTGGAGTCGGAGTAGCCGTTCATTGTGGCTGTTGAGGGGATTCGTAGGGTGGGGTTTGTGCAGAGAAGGGATATTGCGGCGTGGGCTTTTGGGTGGTTGGTACGGCAGAGGAGTTCGGATGTTGCGGCGAGGGTGGGGGTTACCAGGAGGGTTAGGAGGAGGAGGGGAAAGATGAGGATTATTTGGTGGAGGAGATGCATTTTTTTTGGTTTTGTTTTGTTGGTTTTTTATTTGGGAGGGTTGTTCTGTTGTTTGGTTGTCTTCTAGTGTGGTGAAGTTGATTGGGGACTTTCTTCGTAGGTTGGTAAAGGGGCAAGGATTTCTTAGCGGGAGGGATTGTGAGAGAGTATCTTACAAGTACAAAGTGACGATGATGGTTTTGGTATTGGTTTGCTTAATATTGTTCATGGTCTTGGGGTCAAGGAGACAAAGAAGTTCCTAATATCAAGGAGGCTCTTGATATTGTTCTTCGTGGTCACTTTTCTGTCTGCGGGAATTTGGGATAAAGAAATTAATGGACTGACTGATAACCCACCCTCAGTGAGCGTAAAATATGTACGTTTGCGGAGATATAAGAGGCACCCGGTGAGTTTGACTGGGAATAGTTTATTAGCTATCAGGATTTTCAGGGGAAGTGATGGGAGTTGAGAGCATAGGTTATGAATGATGAGCGTGTCAAAAAAGAAATGTCAATGGATCGAATGATAAGTCTTATAGTATCAGTTGGCAACGTCGCGACACTATATATCCGCATCCGTATGCTTGATTTCAATGTCTGTGAAGTCGTAGAGAGCGATTTCTCCTGAAAGTCAGCCGGGTTGAATTTCAAAAAATGACTCTCCATTCACTTGAAAGACACTCTTCATATTTGCTGCTCATCGTCATCCTTCCGACTYGAGTAGCCCGAAATTAGGAAGTGAGCCTCGATGAGGTATCGAGAGACTGACTGTGCGTGGAAGGTGAAGGTAATCAATCAGTCCTGACAACTTCGTCAGTCTACCTGGCCGGCGGGGTCGTACTGGCATGACAGCAAGTCAGCGACCTAGAAGTACGGAGCATGAGCAAGATGACTATTCAAAGGTGGAGGGAACAGCCGCAGTGATGTTGTATATGAAGTTTTTTGGTTTGTATAAAGAGAATAGAGACACACATCTGAGATAAAGCAGTCGAAGAGCCAAGCATGAGATGCAGTTGACGCGGACGCATGGCTACCACCAACGGCACCACCACGACGATGACAATGTAGACAGCGTAATCTTTGGTCACTGCCGCCAGAGATCTTTCAAGATACTTGATCTCGAGTCGCTGCTCAAACGGTGAGCCGTCGATTCAGCTGACACTTGGAGTGCTGATGTCTTGTCGATGTCCACAGTATGGTCGACAGTTTCCTTGTCGTGGCGAACTTCAAGCTTCTCGTTGTCCACCGCGCAGGCGGCGATCTTGGCACCGTAGAGAGAGTGGCTGTGGCTCACAGTGGCATCGGCGGCCTCTGTGCCATAGTACATGTCGTCGATGCCCAGTTTGCTGTAGAACCACTTTGTCTCAGTGCGCTACTGTGAAGAACGTCAGCGGATGAAGGCATGGACGGTGAGATGTGCCATACCACAGAAAGATAGCAGTCTTGCCGGTCAAGGTGAAGCTAGCCATGGTGCTCATCTACTCGTAGATGGACGGGAGCGACACCGCCGGTGTTGTCGATCCAGATGGCCTCCTCCCGAAGGAGGGTAAGCTAACAATACGAGTCAGCGATGACTTGCTGTCAGCAGCGAGAATGTGACATACGGGGATATCGATGCAAACCAATGTTGAATGAATTGCTTGCCCCAGTCTCAGTCTCCCCCTTGACCACGATCACGTACTTATCATGATCGTCACCACTGCAGTCCCCGAYCTTGACCTTGGGCTGAGCCTCCGAATTGAAGTGCCCCTTGACTTTGGCGATACCTGCGAGACAGAAGCCGAGAATGGAGTTGAGCGTGCTGTCGAGAAGGCCAAGGCAGTACAGGTTCAGAAATCCGTGGGATAGCTGAAGAAGATAACGACGGGAATGAAAATCATATCGGTTGGGTGGCGGAGAAGCGACGTATATACTTGACGACCTTGCTGAGAAGGATGATACGTTCTGCTATGGTGTGTCAATGACAGTCAAGGAGAGTGTGGAAATCGCAGACATACCATGACGCGCTGGCCGCTGAGCCAGCTTGCTGCTGCTACTGCTGCGGGTATTGCTGCGGGTATTGCTGCTGCTGCTGCTGGTGGTGCGCCAGCAACGCGTTGCTGGTAGTTGTCAGTGAGTACACGAATGGACAGAGGCGTACGYGCTGTCTTACGGGGATATCGATGCAAACCAGTGTGCCCATGGCGAGACCTGTCAGCCAGTCGATGGCTTTTGTTTGAGGAGAGAAGAAGGAAGAAGAAGAGAAGAGAAAGAGAGAACTGTGAGGAAGGGCAGCGTACGCGCTAGTACCAGCTGCTGCCTGGCATAACTCACCACACTTGCATGAGTTCCGCCTACCTCTTTGATCTGCAGTAATGTGCTAGACCACGTGCCGAGTGATAGAGACAGTACTAAACATTGCTCACGTCTACCAGCACCTACCCATGGAGCTCAGAGGGCCATAATCCCGCAGGAGGGCTGCAAGGCGGCCAACCACGGGCAGACCAAGCGTGGTTTGCATCCACTCACCATTCGCTTGCGCTGAGTATCACAACGAGAAGCTTTGCATGTTACGCCGTCGAGTATCTTGACCGTTCCATGACCTTCATCACCCGAACGCCCGTTGACTTTGTGGACGATTAACAGCTTTGCGGCACGACGATCGATCGAAGAACCCCCGAGTAAGAGCAGGCTTCAATGACCGTAGCGACCGCACAATGAGCCAACCGACCGAAGACCGGCAAAGAGTACATCGTCTGCAACGCGTTGCCAAGGGTAGCCAGCGGCGCCCTGATCCGAGCTTGCGGTCTATCGGCACCTGGAGTAAATGGGCTCCCCAGTCTACCACACATGCAGCGCCGCGGGCCTATTTGACGGCGGATCTTGACGGACATTGGGCTAGGTTAGACTAGACAAACCAGACATCTTATACCACCATGGCGCACGCGAGTCTTTGATAAAGGCAGAAAAGGRGCTGGGGGATATCCATGTCCTCCTTGGACATTGCAGGCACATGGGGCCGTCCAGCGAAGGACTTGTTACATACCAACATAATTCGACGGCATATCCTGGGCTTGAGTTTACCCTGCTTCACTTGCTGCCGGAGGAGGTAGCACGCATGGACGCAGCGGTCTGCAAGCCGATCTGGTTTCCTCTCCAAAATCTTGTGAGATCCACCTTGCACAGTAGGTGCCAGCCGCAACATAGACATACACAGCCGCTAGCCGAACAATCGAGCGTATGTAATGCATTTCTCCAGGCAGCTCGTATGTAGGTAAAGCAAAGCTGATAGGGAGCAACGTTGGCGGCATCCCGTAGAATGAGATACAGCAGATGATGGTGACTACTGCAATGCCKGCATAACACGCGTACCCATAGACCATCATCTTGGGCGCTTAGATCATCAAGCCTTCTTACACAAGTGCACGTCTCATTTGGCGAGATGTCCCGCATGTCATGCAAGCTGAGAACTTTGTGTACCCCATCCCAAAGATGAAGACACACAGCCTCTAGTGGTAGCCTCTAGTGATGACAATAAAGGCATCTGCTTGTAGACCCGTCGGCTCGAAAGCGGCAGCTCTTGGGCAGGCAATATGTATTGCGAGAATTTGATTCTTCACTAGGGGGATATCGATGCAAATCTTCTCGTGACTGTCGTAGTTGGAAATGTATCGATATGCCCCGTCTTTTGCTTCCCGCGAGGTCGTTGATTCAATTCTACTACCAGACTTTTTGCTCAAGCTTTGTTACCCGCGATGCGTATGCATGGCAGAGTGCTCTCAGCGGCCGCCATTGCCAATGGGTACACCGTGCTAAAGGCCCGAAGTCCATCCCACTCGTGTTGACTATGCTTTGAGGGCGACAATGGTCTGCTTGAAAGTCGTGGCCACCATCGAGCATCTTCTTCGAAGGGCCATCATGAGATATCATGGAACCCCGAGACATCGCAGGTCTGCGATCGTTGTTTTGAATGATCCCGTAGCTGACCCATAGAATTCGAATGGTCCTTATTGCTGTGACGGCTCCAAGTTTAACTCGACATAGAGCACCAATCACTCTAATGCCGTTCCTGCGACCTGCAGCGCGAGATGTCTCTCATGATGCACGGTCGTGTGGTCCCCGCCGTCTTCGAATTGCTCATGTTCGATCTTTCAGAATGCAAACACATTACGAGCAAACCGCCGTCGCATCAACCACCCTCCACCGCAACAACAATGCGCTCACTACGCTCAATCTCCAACACGGCGGTAGTCGATTATCGTCCCGAAAGCATTGCGGAGAAGCTGAGCCGCCTGTTCGCCTTTCTCTGCTGCATCGGCTTGTGTGGGAGCAGTGCCGCCGACAAACAGCATCGCAGCGCGAGAGAAAGATGAGCTCTCAATGCCCTCTCCAAGCCTCCAGCGGGCACGGCGGCGAGCTTGCGGCTGTCCTGCGTCTGCTCTAACTGCGGTCTTGAGAACGTAGTCGCCGCAATGGCTATTGCAGACCGATTTGCGTAAGCGTCTCGTGCAGGGCCACCACCCGACTGACCAGAGACCTTGACTAACGCATCCCAAACAGCAGCGCATTCCATCGTCCTTCGCCACAAAGAATTTCCGCAGCGAGAGTGGGAGAGGTCACGCCGCCATCACGTACGCCAACCCCAAGACTTCCATCCAATACCGCTATCATCTCAGCCATATCTGAGCGCCACCGAGGACACACGAAGGAGCAGTCAGGATGCAAGCAGCGGTATGATCGGGAGATGGAAGAGGTCTGAAGACTCAGGCGTGACTGGCGAGCAAGGAGAAGATACGACAGCCATAGAGTGGTCATCAGGTATCTTGTAATCATCCGCTGGGGCTTTCTGACTTATGCATGCTCGTCTTGCTCGAATCATGTTGGGAGGCATGGAAAGTCGGTTGACTGCGTCCTTGAGGTACTTGCAACTGGTAAAACGCCATAGATTGATTATTGTGGCCTACCGCCGCCTGGTTGGATTGACCAGCCGAATCCGTAGATGGCGGGCAAGCAAGCCAAGTGTAGCGGAGGACCAAGAATGAAGAWGCCTATGGGTAAATTTATTGGGCCACAGCGCATGGACTGCCAAAGGAGCGATTCGCAATTGGAAGCAAGGGTACAGCTTTGCACAGCCAGGATCGCACAATCAAGTCAGGCAATGCTGCTTGAGGTGGGTGAGCACGCAAGACAGAATCGGAGTGGCCGTGTTTGGGGGCCGATAGCCTAAACCGTGTGGCCGGAAGGAAGGGCATTGATCCATGGTTTGTTGGTGCCGATTACCTGAGCTGCCACTCAAGTGTTGAACACAGAGATGTCTGCCTGTCCAACGACGACCATTGCCAGACAACAAGGCGAGGAAGACTTCCAAGAGCATGCTAAATCTGACCATCGCCGGATATTCGCCATGCTCCCGTTTGTTGTTTGCTTTTCGCAAAGAGAAAATGGAGGCCTAGGCAATGTCGGAGATGAAGGCCTTGTCCAGGCTTGACCGTTCCTTCCGCGGACCTTTTTTAGCAACTCTGGCTGGTGGACGGACTGGGCTCGAAGATCGATCGTAGGTGGGTGGAAGAATCATTACTCCTTCCACCAACCGGTATTGAAGAGAACCATACACACAGGCGAGCCAGTGTAGGGCATAAGACTCGATCCTGTGTGCGAACACAGCCAAAGACCTTGCCGCTTTGCCGGTGCAGGGTTACTGAAATCAATGCAATTTCATCGCAGTTGAATAGTACCGGACCTGCAAGAAAAGCATGCCACCCGAACTTGGCCCTTTCTGCCTGCACAGCTTTACAGGAGACTCCGGGGAAGCCAGGGAGTTTGACCTACACAGACCAGGAATCCGAGACCGAGCAACAATACCCAAACAGAAGAAGCATCGATTGAAGGCAAGGCAGCAGACGGCCACCTTCCATCGTTGACCTCGACCGCCATATGCCAAGGTAAGGAGGATTCGAATTTTCAGCGGTCATTCCAACCGCATCATCTTGCACCGCCTTTGCGGATCCAAAGTGGAGGAGTCCATTGCGTTGGCTATTCCTTTACTACTCCGTGATCCGTCGAAGCAGAAGAACCAGAAGTGGTAACTCAGCCTGATGGGAAGCAAAAGGGACCGGTGCTCTTGAAAGTATGGAGACCCTTGGTCCTTCCGAAGCATGTTGAAAAGAGCGTGAAAGGGAGACATCCTTGGTCATTCCCGAGAAAATGAAACACAGAAGAAACGGGAGACGTCCTTGGTCATTCCCGGAAACAAGCAGCACAGAAGAAAAGGGAGACGTCCTTGGTCATTCCCGGAAACAAGCAGCACAGAAGAAAAGGGAGACATCCTTGGTCAATCCCGGAACAAGCAGCTTAGAAGGGAAGGGAGACATCCTTGGTCGATCCCGGAAGTACTGAACGCAGAAAGGAGGGGAGACATCTTCCGTCATTCCCGGAAGCATCAGATATGAATGGCGACGAACAGTGTAAGAGTCAGACGCTGGGCGGAATTGTGCAGCAGAAAAGAGCAGCAAAGAAGGTGAGTAAAAAAAGAAATGCCAGTATACGGGGTGTCCCACGGATGCCTGCGGAACACTCCCGGCAACCAAGATCTATCCCGCAACTTACAAACGCCCGGCACTTCCGGCCACTGTTGGAGGGTGAATGTGTCGGAAGACGACACTGGCCATTGCTTGGAATCCTGTGTCAGGTCCGCCTGAGGTGATGTGTAGACTGATGGAGCTTGCTGGCGCCGGACCTGGCCTTGCAGCATTGCATCTGCTTAGAAGCTCTGCGAGTATTCTTGTACCATATTGCTTATCTTGTCCAGGACTCGAGGTATCCTTTTAGTCTGACAGAAGCTCGAAGGCTCTCCGGGATTACGCGCGGAGTGCTAGTGTCGTTGGATCAGGCGCGACCAGATCGCGGCCCACGAGTCGACAGCCCTACAGAGCTACTCTGTCTTGAATGAGAACTCTTGGTAGGCGGCGTACACTGCTCGTTGAGCGGTGGTCGCTTGCGGCTGTGTAGGCCTACACCGATCTCGAATCGTGTTCGTGTGGCCGAATTCGAGGTCGAGGGCGCGGCGACGCTGCCTATCCGCTGGCCATGCTGTACGCTGCAAAAGCGGTACTGCATCGCTGGGAGTAGTGAGCTATGCTGCGGGCCATGGTGCGCGGATGCTGCGTCCACCCTCGGTTGGTAGTGAGAAGGGGATGCTGCATGGGGCCATGCCAGGGGATGACTATCTCGATCTGGTCTTCGCCGCAGCAACAGCGAGACCCACGAGTGGAAGTATGAGACAAAGAGAGCCTCCCGTCATGGCCATGTCGTTGAAGTCGGTGGGTGGAGGCGAGTATGCGTGGTCCTCTTATGTACCTGACTAGCATGGCCAGCACGGACCTCCCGCTCGAAGACATCACTTCAGCAGCCAACTCCTTTTGACTTCGACTTTGACTTTCATCATCCGCATCTTGCTCTTGGATGCGAGAGGCATGCGAAGAAGCTAAAGATGCCATCTCAACACTTGAACAGGGATCGTGCCTCACTCCTGGCAAAGTCATACTGACTCCGGCAATGATGAGACAACGTGACATGACCTTTACGAGCCATCACCATTCAGTACGCGTAGCTTTACACTCGCCGCACCGATATCCTGGCTTGTAGGAAGAGGAGCTCCGCGAATCTTCATCTGAGTYCGGCGTGGATGGATATCAGACCATGGTCGAGAATATCGCTTCAGAACTACAGTAGGCTGTCCAGGAGAACTTGGGCAATAGTATTCCGGTAGACGGCTCAGAAAATACTTATACTTCACCAGGTGTAAGCGGCCTCCGGAACTTGGAAGGGGCTATTGATACATCAAGGCATTGTAAGTACAAATTCACAGCATTTCCTTGCGTAATGTCGTTATTCAACGCGCATCTTTGTCTTTCCTTGCTCAGTAGTTCATCTCCCCGCCCCTCGCGATCAGATACATTCAATCGTACTGTGATGGTCTCTTATCACAGCTGCTTCAGCTTTGGACAGCAGTACAACTACGGAGGCGCTTCGTAAGCCTATTTTCGAACAGTCAGGTGGCACACGACACACATATCAAGCATTACTAGCTATGCTCGTTCTACTGATCAAGCCCAGGCGTGTCCGCAATCTTGAAAATGTACTTCACAGCATTCGCCTTCCCGGCCTTCAGATTCTCCAGCGCAGTTTGAACACCTTCCAATCCACCAGGTACCACCTCATGCGGCTGTGGCTTGAACCAGCCCTCCTCCAAACCCTTTGCAATATATCGAAAAGCAACAAACCCAAAATCCTTCAGATCATCCGGGAAGCCATGAACGCTTCCAACAGTAGTCGTGGTCTTCTCAATACCCTCTGGAACTCCCTCGTACTTCTTTCCAGGAAGCACAAAGGTGATCTTCCCAGTCTTCTGGTCCAAGACCTGGCAAATATTTTGATAACTACCCTTTTCACTCACGGCATCGAAAGCGTATTCGGCTTTATTTCCGTGGTCCTTGATGGCGTCGCGGAAACCTTGTACGACATTCTCGCTTCCAGAGCGGTAGTCAAGGATAGTGTCGCCTTTACTTCTGTCGATCAGGGCCTCGACGTGAGCGGCACTTTTACCTGCTACGCAGATTAAGGGATGGATGTTCGCACGGGTCGCGAGTTGGATGGCATAGCTTCCTACGCTGGATGCTGCACCGTAGATTATKAGAGGTGTTGGTTTAGTTGCTGGGAGCCAGGGAGGTGGAAGACGCAGACGGGCAARGAGGCCTACTGCTGCTGTGAGAGACGCAAGAGGAAGAGCAGCGCCCTCTGTGGAGGAACATCAGTCTCGTGACGAAAAGGGGGCGAGAACAGACTCACCTTCAAAACTTGTCTTCTCTGGTAAATGAATGGTGGTAGACGACCAACTTAGCGCAAACTCGGCATAGCTCCCACCCGGCTTCATCATCTCATGGAAGGCAGCTACACGATCTCCAGGTTTGAATTCGGATACATGTTCGCCTACTTCGTGCACGATTCCGGAAATGTCGTCTCCTTGATTCTTGGGCTTGGAGTCTGGCATTTCTGCTCGTTTCCTTGAGCACGTCAACATTGAACGTCCAAATCGAAGAAGATGAGCATACCAGTCCTTGGGGTTACTACCACTATATATCACTTTTGTTACGACCTGGTACGGTCCAGCTTTCGGTATAGGCACATCTTGAATTGTGACTTTGGTACCTTTGCCTACTACAGCCTCCTTCATAGTTCCGGACGATGCGTTTCTTGTTTGATTGGCAATAGCTGAAAGTCGTCGTGAAGCAGACATTCGGAAAGACGAGAGCATTATTTGAAAGGTCGACTTGCATGAGTAAAGTGCGCTATATGAGGTACACGAAGCATGGCAATGGTCAGCTTGCCATGCAGCTCCTCACTCGCTATATCCGAACAGCCGTCAGCGCCTAAACGTCATCGCTCTCCTTCTCGTTTAGCCAATGCTTGTGCTGCTGGGCCTCCATTATGATTTGAATCAACTCTCAACGAGATACTGGTGTGAGAGCCAACCCTGTTGAACGATGCGTCCGCCTCATTGGGGCAACGGAATAGACATGCCGAGTACGTGGGCTGAGGAGTGAGAACGTCTCGGGTTCCAGGATGCAACCAACATACGAGGAATCAGGATACCACTGGGCATGCTATGAACCAGAGCTCACTTCCGCTGAAAGCAATGTGTCTTTCCGAGTTTGTCGAGCTCGGTGAGCTCTCTGATGAGTCTCATCATCAGATGTCAATGTTCGCTGTCGGGGAGGGCGGAGGGCGGACTTCGGTGCGGTCCCGGTTGCTGGGGACGACCCGTAAGTTTGAAACGCGGACCCCAACCCAAATCAGAGCAGAAGCAGAAGCTGCCGACATCTTGACGTTCTAACTAACGAAGTGTCAACTGCCATCTGCATCAAGAGCAAGCGAGAACTTCAAACACCATCGCTTCGCCGCACACATTACCGACCCGCGGTGGTCGCATCTTCCTCTACCCTGCCCCGCAAAGATTTATGCCTGCATGAAACCAGCAACAGGAACAACAAATAATAACAACATAGGCACAGCATTAGATTCCACTCCCCAGCATGGCCGCAGCGGCCAACAAGGATGGCGCGTCCAGCATCTCGGTGACGGTTCGCGTGCGTCCTTTTACGATCCAGGAAGCTGCGCAGCTCACCAAAACGGATGATGGACCACTCTTCCTGGGCGATGGTTCTCTTGCGGCGGTCGCGAAGCCCAAATTTGGCCAAAAGGGACTCCGGCCGGTGATAAAAGTGGTGGATGAAAAGTGCCTGTATGTGAAGTGCTTTGGGAGGAGGAGATGMGAAACATGTCTCGCTAATGTCTACACAGTATCTTTGATCCCCCCGAAGACAACCCCGTCCAGCGCTTCAGTCGCTCCGTACTCCCCCAGGGCAAGCGCGTCAAGGATCAGACTTTTGCATTCGACCGGGTCTTCGACGAGAACACGACACAAGCCGACGTCTACGAGGCGACCACCCGCAACCTGCTCGATTCTGTTCTGGATGGCTTCAACGCGACGGTGTTTGCGTACGGCGCGACAGGATGCGGAAAAACACACACCATCACAGGCACAGCTCAGCAACCCGGAATCATTTTCATGACCATGCAGGAACTATTTGAAAAGGTCGGGGAGTTGAAGGAGACGAAGGAGGTGGAGGTCTCGCTATCGTACCTGGAAATCTACAACGAGACGATTCGCGATCTTCTCAATCCAGACGCTGCGACCGCCAAGCAGGGGTTGATGCTACGCGAGGATTCTAACCAGGCCGTTTCCGTCGCAGGATTGTCATCACACAAGCCTCAGAACGTGCAAGAGGTCATGGACATGGTCATCCAAGGCAACTCACAGCGCACACAATCGCCCACCGAAGCCAACGCGACCTCATCCCGCTCGCACGCCGTGATTCAAGTCAACGTCTCTTCGAAGGAGCGCAATGCCGATGTTCATGAGCCGGTCACATTCGCTACCCTATCCATCATCGATCTGGCAGGATCGGAGCGTGCCAGTGCGACCAAGAACCGTGGCGCACGTCTACTCGAGGGCGCCAACATCAACAAGTCCCTACTTTCACTCGGATCCTGCATCAATGCTCTTTGTGATCCACGAAAACACAACCACATCCCATACCGAAATTCAAAGTTGACCCGGCTACTGAAGTTCAGCTTGGGCGGGAACTGTCGGACCGTCATGATTGTTTGCATTTCACCGAGCAGCCAACATTTCGATGAAACGCAAAACACGCTTCGGTATGCTAATCGTGCAAAGAACATCCAAACAAAGAGCGTGCGAAATGTGTACAATGTGGACCGCCACGTCAAGGACTACCTCAAGAAGATTGWCGAGCAGATGGCACGTATCAACGAGCTCACAGCACAGCAAAAGCAATTCGAGGAGCTGGCATTTGTGAAGTTCCGGAAAGCGGAAGCAAAGAGGAGTGAGATTGCACAGGACGGAGTCTCGCGACTTCGTGCCGCGTACGAGCACTCTCAGTCGGAGCGCACTGAGCGCACATCCAACACATTACGACTCCGCCATACCGAGCGTCGCATTGGCGCTATCAGCGGGTGGATCGGCTCATTCGACCAGGTGTGTGAAACTAGGGAGGACGAGGAGCCGTCTGCTGCTCTCACCGCGATGCGCAAATCTGCGCAAGGGATCCTAGTTGAGCTCGAAGGCAGTCGGCWGCATTACCACCAGCGGCTGGCCAGGAACAATTGGACTCGAGCCATTGATACTGCGCTTCAAGATGGTTTGCGCCAATTGCAGGGTTTGGATGGGAGTGTTCCAGAGAGCAGGGAGGAAATGTCGTTGCGCCAGGAAGTCGAGCTGCTCAAGAACCGCGCGGACATCGATATGCATCTTGCTGTTCTGGAGCAGGACAAGGTTGGCGATTCTGGATTGATGCAGGTCATGCTCGCTGCCCATTTCGAGACCATCGCAATTCTCAATCAGCTTACGCAGATGACTGAAGCAGAGGCCATGGCAGCTGGCAAGGGTATCTTGGGTAAACTGCTTCAGTCGTGTACTGAAGCAACGGGTCAAGTCATCAAGCCCGACGGTGGCCTTCAGATTACCCACGCTGTTCCTCCAACACGTAATGGCACCCCTCGAAAGAAGAAGCAGGTTCCTCTTTTGGGGCCCAGTCCCATCAAGAACAAGATCCGCTCAGTTACAGCAGCGTCCACCATCGCACCTCATCTTGCACCAGGCACGGGGCTCCTCCCTTCTCCAGACATCGTGTCCAATGCCGCCCGCGGTGCTACAGCAAGTCCTAGGAGGCGACCAAAGCCTGGTGGTACTGCGCGTAGCAAGGTCTTATTCCACAACGGCACACCCAAAAAGAAGTCGCCTTCGAAGAAACGCGCTGTAAAGTGGAGGGATGAGGATGTCGATGGCGGCACCCTCGTAGAGTTCCAGCCAACCCCTAAGAGAGCGAATTTCGAGAACAGCACTCCCCCTGAAGCCGAGCAAGTAGACGCAGATGCCGACGGCGCTTCCAAACTCTCAATGGGTAGCGATCACGAGCACGATGACCCGGACTCCAGCCCTCTGCCTTCCGCGCCCAGTTTCACAAGCAGCGATATCCGCAAGTCTGGGAACGGCAGATTTGCGACTGGCTTCCTACAAAAGGCGAAGACCGATGGAGGCTCACCCGGCTTGATGCCACCTCCTTCGTTGACGATGGGGTCGTTTTCCAGCGAGGATGACTCGAGCCCGCTACGCGAGATGGAAGCCAATCGTGCTCCTTATGCTAAAAACCGACGTATCAGTAACCTTCCTTTGCACAGTCGCAGCAAATCTGAGATCGTCTCCGTCGATGATGCTTCCTCAAACTCTGGAAGCGACATCGACAAGGAGTCCGCAAAAGAGATTCGCTCTGCTTTACGATCGCAACATAAGCGATCCTCCTCATTGGGGTTTGGAGGAAGCAAGACGTCATCTCGTCGCAGCCCACGGGAATCTGATTTAGCTCATCGTCGCCGTAGCCCGACTGCCTCAAATTCAGGATCGCCTCCTCAGCAGGATGCTCAGGGGATCTTCTCGGCCTCCCATGCCCGGCGCATGGTGGGCTCCCAGCGGGTCGAGGGCGAGAAGGGTGTTTTGAGCCCTCGCACTCAACCTGTCAGTAAACCAAATGGCCCCATTTCTGTGAGAAGAAGTATGTTTGACTTGCATGGAGCCRCCAATGGTTCGAGGGACAGTTTGAGCTCGGCGCAGGGTTCGACGAGAGTGGTTTCAAGATCCAGTAATGTCGGAGCCATTGGGAGAGCAGCGTGGAGATGATCTTTCTTGGAGGGAAGACAATGGGACTAGCGAAGTGGTCGACTTTTGCACGAAGTCTTTTTTGCTTTGGCATCAAGACTTGAGCGTATCAAAGCGTTTGAGCGTTCTAGACGAGTTTTTTCAGATGGGTTGAGCATGGCGTTACTGGCGAGGGATTTTGAGCCTCTCTAGGCTTTCTCTTTTTGTAGAACTCCTACCTAGGTGTGGAATGTACAACACAAACTTGATGATCTTGTCAATGATGCGATTCCCGTTCTTGTGCATCGACTCTGATTCTATCATGGCGCTATGGGTATGCGCAATCTTCACGAATTAAGCCTCTCCAAATTTCTGGAGAGCTTTAATCCACGGAGGGCATGGTGTTTTCTCAACGGAAACTGATGAGGTAGACGGAGATGAAGAAACGTAAGATATAAAATGGGTATCAACTGAGTTCATTCGAATGCGTGWCTCCAGCCCTGTGGCAATGCAGCATTTCCTGTAATGCAGCCTTCGATCCACACCGAACGCCTTTTTTACACATCGAACATCCTCCCCAGAGGTTTCATACCGCGCGATGCTCAAGAGATTTACTCGTCATCCTCGTCCTCCTCCTCAGCCTCAAGAGTGGTCTGAGCGATACGGTCCAAATCACGCTGACCGGACTGAGTGATGCGGCGGCCACCCTTCTCCTCGTCCTTCTCGAGAACACCGATCTTCTCAAGAGCCTGGAAGACCTTGCGGTCAACGGAGCCGGAAGCGTCGACGTGGTGGGATGGGCGCGAGCCACGGTTCTTGGTACCACCGTGGACCTTGCGCAGACGACCAACACCGACGGTCTTGCGGACGTAGACGTGGCGGGCAACAGAGGCCGCGCGGATGTAGAACCTTTTGAGGTCATTAGACATGGGATGGCATATGTTGAAGATTATCAAGACTTACCAGTCCTGCGACTGTGGTGGCAGCTCCTTGGCGTTGGACAGCTTGACAGTGTCGGACCAACCTGTAGACTCGTGTCAGTAATGAGCTGACACCGACGTCCCCCGTACCACACGGGATTCAGGTTTCTCCTTGAAGAAAATTGTGTATGTGTGTATCCTTTCCATCCATCTTTTTTCCACTGGTGCTCACGAACCTGGAATTGGGAGCTTTCCCTGACGCTTCAAGAAAGCGGCGTAGGCGGCGATGAACTTGTCCGAAGGGACGTCGCGAACGGAGACACCTGGCATTTTGGCGGTTGTGGATGGGGTGTTGTCGACGGTGGGTGGAGGTGTTGGTCGTGTCTGGCAAGTGAAAATGTCGAGGAGCGATGTTCACAGCCAAAGAGGCCGTGGTGTGCGCCGGCTTGGCGCGGAAACTTCGGCCGCTCCCGTGCTGAACTTTCCTAACCAATTGGATGGGAAGGTCTGCCGAAGATAAGCGGGTCTGCTCACGAGACATCTGTGATCCGACATCGATCTTTCTTTCGTGACGGTGCAAGAAACATCGACATTCACATGCACATCGATTGTTATTCCAGCATGTACCACACGCATCTCGCTCACATCGTTCCGCGAGCCTGGTAAGCATCGTAGAAAACGCTTGCTGCGATCTGTTCCAACATCGTTCAACTACTCGCACCTGCAACCTGGTAGGAAGCAAGAAACAAGCACAACACAAGACACCACACACCCAGAATGCCTCTCAGAACAGTTCTACCGTCCCTCACAGGCACAAAATGGGGGTTGGTTGTTGCCCTCACAGTTGTCACCCTTCCGTTACTGGCAGAAGGAGCAAAGATATGCTTCGATGCGATAGCGATCAAAAGCGGTAAGTATCGTTCTAAACCAGACACTCTCATCCGGAGCTGACATTACCAAGCAACCAAGTCAGATCCGAGCTTGTTCAAAGACAACCTTCGCGTGGAGAGCTACACTACGCCCTCCGGACACACATATCGCAGGGTAAGGACCTTTTACCGCAAGCATACTCATACGGAGAAACTCCCTCGCGACCTACCTCTGCTGGTCTTCATTCATGGCATGGGWGGCAGTATGGCCCAGTTTGGACCACTTCTCAATTCATTGATCAACGTGGCTCCCTGCCTGGCAATTGATTTGCCCGGCTGCGGGGCCTCCAGCTTCTCACCAAGAGATATCAAAGCCTACACCCCTGCCTGTCTAGCTGAACTTGTCCACGCAGCCATAGAGCGCGTCCGCGCAAAATACATCAATCAGCAGGTGGTCCTGATCGGCCACAGTTATGGTTGCTCGCTGGCCGCCTTACTAGCATCTTCCAAATCTCCTCTCGCCCATCTCTGCTCCAATCATATCATTGGAATGGTAGCCATCTGTCCGAGATCGACGCCTCTCGTCGAGACTGACATCAAGAAGATCAAAACCCTCAATTGGATACCGTCGCCGATGTTCGCCGCATGGCGATTGCTGGATCGTCGTGGAGGTGTCAATAGCACATCTGTCACGCGCATGGCTGGCAAGAATGCCGACCCGGAGACGAGGAGACTACAGCTCCGCTTCAATCAGCAATCTCGAACCCCGACTTGGATGACTATGACCCTCGCTATGGCTGAACAGGAGCAGCGTGCGAACCACGAAGATTCCAGCGGTATCAGCAAGGGCATCTGGGCGGATATCGAGCAGCCGATCTTCATCGTTGCTGCCAGAGACGATGATGTAACGAAACCCACGGAAGCCGAGCAACTCAACACGTGGCTGACTTCAAAGGGCCCCCAAGCAACAGTCAAACTGCTTGTCTTTGACTCGCCAGCATCTCACTCCGTTCTGTTCTCACCTCGAACAATTCGCTCCCTGTCTGGTCACATTGAAACCTTTCTGGCCAGTGAAAAGGTCGATCCTCGTTTGTGTCCCGGCTGGCAGCTTCAACAGCTTACCACAACCGCAAAATGGGACGTGAAGAACCTTGAGAAGTGGAGTCGCGTTGATCCTTGCTCCGCTCCCATCGCCTGCATTTTCCGTGCGATGAAAACCATGCGTCAAGGTGATGAGAACCATCGTCCAGAAGTCTTCATTCGAAACTTTGGTGGAGAGGACGGCGTAAGGGCCGTGGTGGACATTAGCCGCGACCAGCCAGTCTATAACAAGGCCGACTTGGAAGAGGCAAACATTGAGTATCACAAATTTCCAACCGTGAGCAAGATCGTTCCCACAGACGACGACGTCAGTGGATTCTGCGCCCTCATCGATCGTTTGCGGAAGGATTTTGATATCGATGGTCAGAGAGAAGGGCGCACCATCGGCGTCCATTGTCACTACGGCTTCAATCGTACTGGCTTTCTCATCATCACCTATCTCGTTTTGAGGTTGGGTTGGAAGGTGCAAGATGCCATTGCAGAGTTTGAGAGTAAGAGGCCGCCGGGTATCAAGCATCCGCACTTCATCGATGATCTTTTCATGAGATACGGGCCGAAGTAGGGTTTCGAGGAGGGAGCAGACTGAAACTATTTGAGCTTTCTCATATGCGTGAAGCGCATAGAATGGGCGGATTGAGTCAGAAGCGCACACTTTTCTTTCATACCTTTGCAGCGCATTAGCCAGAGATACCATCGAATGCAGCGTACCTTTCGTTTGACGTTCAGTTGGAGTAGAATGGTCTGATGACTTCAAACATACCGCGAAGTTCATCCATGGAGTGAAGAGTGGACCAAAATCATGGAAAGTCCCGTTCATACCTACAATGACAACGATCGTGTGGTTTGAGCATCCTCCAGGAAAATTATGTTTGACGGCGACTCTCAGATCACTCCAAAATGAATCTTCCAGCAGCTACGCGAGGACTCTGCACATCTATATTCATCTTACTGGCTGAAGGTGTTGAGATCAGTAGAGCTTTTTCATGATACAGGGTCTTATCGGATCACCAGTGTAAAAGAAGATCACCAGCAGAGATGTTTATAGCATAACTTTACTTCATTGTCACGTTACTCTATCCCCCTTCTACTTTACTCCAACCTCGTAGATCTATCATATTCCTATCATCAAAATGTGAATCCGCCATTCCATCTAAGCCTTGTAGTTGGTTGCAGGACCCTTTGGCTGGTACCTATAACCCGGGAACTGGTCGAAAAGCCCCACATCCAACTTCCCAAGCGCAGGACAGCCCAAGCTACCCGTGATGGGAGTCAGAGCATCATTGAGAAGCTTCGTGACGGGTGAGAGGCTGTTAAGGATGCCAGAGGCAAAGTCGGGAAGAACCTGCTGGAGTAGCTGGAAGGAGAAGCAGGCAAAGTTGTTATCCTGGAAAAGGGTTTCTGCGTTCAGGAGGCCGCCTGAGAGGTCGGCGACGTTGAGGCCCGTGAATGTGTTTACTTTGCCGGTGTTGCCGCCGAACTTGAGGGCTCGTGGGTAGGCAAGATATCCGATTCCAACGTCACCGAAGACGTCTGGGGCCTCGTATGGAGCGTAAGAGGGTCGGCGATACCAGTTCTCTGGGACCTGAGTGAAGTATAGAGGTAAGCATGTGTCTTGAATGTGTGAAATGGGAGGGGAATGAAGGCTTTAGAGACTTGCTCTATGCCTCCCATGTCACAGTTTGACTTACCCTCTCCTGGCCCTTGAGCCATTGGAAGCTGCCGGGCTCTCCCGCAACACCGAAGAAGCTCTTGAAGTTGTAACCATCGAGGTAGCCACCAGGCACCTCGTGGGAGTGGTTGCTCATGAGATTAATGACGAAGTTGTACGCCGCAGGCACAACGACAACAGTGGAGAAAGCACCCGTGAAGTAGTAAGGGTTGTTGGCAATGCTCTCATCCTGGGCCTCTTCGAACTTGGCACGGAACTTGTCTAGGGTGTAGCGGTCACTGCCATCCTTGACAGCAATGTTGTAGACCTGCTCGAAGCGGCTGACGTTGAGAGAGTGAGCATCGCCGTTGTTAATGTAGGCGTCGCCTCGGCCAATGCTGGCATCTCCCTCGTAGGTGTTGTGCGAGTAGGAAAGACCTTGGCCAGGGGTGAGCAGTGGTGAGCTCAACTCGTCGGTTGGGAGAGGGCCACCGATAGACCACACACCCTCGACAGGATTACCACCCGTGGCGATGGCGTAGGCCGCGAGGGCGGTTGTGACTCGCGGTCCCAAATTGTACAGGGCTCCGAGACCGGAGACAGTCTGCTCAATGGTTTGGATGCCGTTACGAGGCAGGTAGCCGTGGTTTGCCGCAGCGTTCCTGATACCGATTAGTAAATGTGCTCGACGGGGTGATCAATTGGAGCCATACAATCCTGGGCAGGGACCACGAATGTCCCCTGGTCCAGGCGCGAGGTACTCGTGCTCTCCGGAGACAGACACTTCTTGGTCTATCGTTCTCAATGTCAGATTCTATTCAACACGACGACGCATATGCTATCCTTACCTTTCTCGTCGAAGATTGGGCAGGCTCGTGTACCACAGTTGCTCTGAGCAGCCGAGATGGCACGAGCCGCGTCCTGACGCTTTGCCAGTGGGTGGCGCTGGACATTCTCCATGAATTGGGCGATCTCAGAAGAAACGCCACCTTCGCTCAAGAAAGGGAAGGCAGTTGCGCTGAGCGCACTTGCGAGGACAAAGGCGGTCTTCATTGTGAATGCAAAAGAGGTTATGAAGTAGGGGGAGAAGAGCGAGTTGCTAAAGATGATGCATTCAATCGAGGTGGTGCAGCAGCTGAGTCTTTATATGTTTACAGCTCCTCCAAAATTGCCCAAAACATCAATCTTGCGCCATACCACCTTGCATTGCGACGCATGCTGATCGTCGCCAGACTCTTCTGCAACCATCTCGGTTGACAGCTCGTCCAGCTACGTCGAGTCCCTTTGTGGGATGTAAGGTTTGTAGCATGGCTGCTCGAAGCAGCAAAGATGTGCTCTAATTCGGATGGTATGGAGTATAGCGTGGCAAACGCTTTGCAGAGAGACCACTAGTGCTATAGGGTCCTGGGCAGAAGATCCGGGCGCTGGGACTATCATCTCCGCCTTTGCCGTTGTCTCTAGCATCACGACATTCAGGAGAGCTCTGATACGTCGTCTGAGTGACCAAGGACCTCTGTTTTCCTGCTTGTGCTGGCAGCTCCAGCACTCCGAGCGATCTGCAAAGCAACTGTGGCCTTACCGGGAGTTCTAGCTGCAGCCGCCACCAGGTGAGAAGGGCGCTATGATGGTCTTCCAAGACTCCTCGAAAGTCTGCTGGGTCCAGCCTGAGCAAGGTATTGCTCAGAGGCTTTCACCTCAGGCCTGACGCTACATCCTGACGAGCATGTGGCCACTACGGAYTGAAGCATGTTCACCGCTGGGATGAGAGTGACAGGCCCCGGCTAGAATATTGCTCGTAGCGCTTACATCTGGAAGCACCCAGCTCGACCGGCGGACGCCCTCGGAGCGGATCAACGTGGAATCTACTAAATTTGATCCTGCCGGCATGGTGCCTGTCAACCAACACGTTGCGCCCAATAGTGGTCCAGTTGATGACTAGCAAGCGTTGTTTGTGTGTTGAAGGCTGGGGCAAGAAGCAGTGTAGTGTCAGTGTAGTGTCAATGACACAAAAGCTTAAATCTCACGCAATCGTGAAGTTTACCTGGGACCTACCCGCTTCGCCTCTTCGAGCTGTCATTTGCTCACGATAACCCACAAAACCCTCTGCCGAAGCTCTCGCGCACGCCATGACTGCGTATATTGCACCTTGCGCTCTTGTCGGTACACAAGAGCTTTTGACTTTGTTGTATCATACTCAACGCGGACGATCGTGAGTGAATTGCGTTAGAACTGCGAATGAATCAATTTCAGCAGATGTTTCCGCGATCCGATGCATAGTAAATGCCATGCAAGTGATCGAGGAGGCTTTTGGTTGTCCGCCACCATCACTAGTCGATGTCTGTATTTACCATTGCAACGTTGCTGGCTATCGCGGAAACCGACAACAAGTCGCCCGTTCCACGCAGCTGCAGGGTATCCAAAGCACGAGATTGTGTCGCCTGCGGTTGGAACGATGCTCTGAGGTTACAAGGCTTCGAACGCACGATCGCCGTGCTCTCGTCACCCAAAGTTACCCTGCGGGTCCAGACGTTCCATCCGATCGACACGCATTTTGGAATATGCGCCGTCTGCTGCCCACTGTCGTTGGGCGTATTTCCCGTGCTGCTCGCGTCCTGCCATGTTGTACTCCATAGGTCCAAGACATCAAAATTGCGATTGATATGTTTGACAGACCTTCTTCGACAGCAAAGCATCCCGCAGCGTTTTTCAACCTTGCTCTGCATGCCAGGCATATTCCGACGAAGCGAGGCTGTCGCATCAACTTTCGCGAGGGACCGGAGGCTGGTTCAACGAGCAGCTCGAGCTCGTGCCGGAATCGCCATGCCGATGTGACGTGATTCTCACTCTTGAAGATCTTTCGAGGCTTGGTGGATCGACCAAAGGCATCACTGCGCGGCCCCAAGGTGGCTTATTCTACTCTTTTGGATGCATGCTTATTAGGTGCGTGGTGGGTACGCGTTGAGATCGAAGGACCAATTGTGAGGAACGTGGCGACGACGGCGCAAATGTGGTYTCGGACGGTATCTGAATATGCCCATCGCAGGAAAGGGATGTGCATTTCCTGCAACAAGAACGCATATACATGGCCGCGGATGAACGTCGAGGTCTTGAGCGTAGGCAGATGAGGGACCACGTGAGAGCTGGACGTGAAGTGTTCGGATCTTCCCGGACGATCCCTCCTTTGCCTCCCTGCCTTGCTACTTCCCTCTTTCCACCTTCCATCTCTAAAGATAGTTTCCACCCACACGCGAAGAGAGGAAGGCTCAGGTAGGCTGGTACGATTCGTAAGACACCGGACATGAAGAGCGATTGAAATTCTTACTCCACGGACTTCATTCTATTGCTATCTGGCTTTCACTTATCTTCCTATCATTACAATCTGTCAACAAGGGGACTCCACCCATGGCGGAGGATGGCACGGCTGCGCTAATCCTCCATCAATACCCTCTGTCGCATTATCCATGGCCGTCTTCTCATCTCCATCGGAACTTCACAGACAAACGATGTCGACGAGCTTCCTTTTACAGAAACCATGACCCCTGAGGCTCCGCGCTGGTCTGAGGGCTGGTACACGTTTTCTCCCTCGTGAAGATGCCGCCAGTGGTATTGACACCACCGTAGCCCGCTGGTGGTATACCTTACAAGAGCAATCCGAATCTCCAGCAGCGAAGTCATTTATACCCAAGAGCTGTCCATCGTCACAAGCTAGCATCCATGCTCGAACACGCTCGATAAAGTCGTCGAGAGCGCGGATGCGAGCCGAACTAGAACATGGAAGATCGATATCCTCTTAAGCGACCCGGAAGGCGGTCTGTATGGCAACCCATCTTCTCGAAACTGGCTCAGCCTGCTGATTGCTTATCACGAGGGAACTTGTTCTTGGACAGCCTATACGCAGCTGCCTCGAACGAATTGCCGCCAAGCGGACTCAGCTGACTGAACAGGTTCGGGCACTCCTGCAGGAACCTTTCAATCTCAGAATGCGGAATGGTGAGTTTCGGTCCATGCTGTCGTCCGGAGCGGGTATCCTCGGTCCCTGCAAAAGTCCAGAGGACCACTGCGGCGTGGTGCAGACTGCAAAACGCGAGGAAATTAAACTGCGCCCTCTCACTGGGCGGCAGTGAAAGCTCGCGCTCTATCAGCCACTTGACGTCCCAGGCTTGCTGTGCTGCTTGCGGTGCGAACGCAGACCTCGTCCACGCCTCCACTTTGCGGTGAGTATGCCAATCTATCGTTCGAGGCTCAGTGGCACGGTAGGATATGTGATGGAGCCATTCCAGAGGTGCTGTGAGGCGCAACCTACTCAGATGATAGAGGGTCAGACAGCTCAATAGAGTGTTTCTGTCGTTCAAAAACGCTCCCGCTTTGATCGCAGTGTCCACGGCCTGGGACCAAGCGTCCAATGCGAACAGCAATCTTGAACGCTCGGCGTAAAGCTCATTCATGCGTCTGCGTATCTGGCCCACTGCTAGCGCAGGTATCAATCTTTCTGCGTTGGGTCGCGGAATAGTGTCCCGATGCTCTGCTACGGCAATATCAATGTCTTCTAAGCAGTGGCCAGTCAACCTTGGGAAGCATTCGGGGTCTTGGCTGAACTTCCAAACCGCTTCTTGAAGGCCAAATAGAACAAGTTCGTAGCCTACCGGGCCAAGTTGGGGATTTACCTCAGTCTTGTCGAGGAAGATTCGAACAAGATCCGAGAATGGAAGCTGCAGACATTCACTATCTTCCATGCGCTGGGATATCAATTGTCCCTGGGGGTGAAGTCCCTCCATGTTAAGCCATAAAGCATCTGACCTTGGGAAGGTGAGCTTGACCTCATCAGCTGTCAAGAGAGGACGAGTGCTAAGCAAAACGCTTGTGTAGACGTCTGTCCGGAGTATGGCATATGCGAGTCTCCTTCGAGCTTCGCCTTGCTTCCAGTGAGCCACTTCCGCATCCGGTGTCATCTTGGACAGTCGCGACATCATGTATGCGTCCGGCAATGGTTCGCGGAATGCATTCATACGGCGAAGTTGGGCAACAGTAATGGCTGCGATGTGCTAGAACACAGATCAGCAAAGGATTGCCAGCATTCGCGAGTGCCTTACCTGAGCGTATGAAAAGCCTTGGTGCTGGCCAAAGTAAAGAGCAGACACTTGAGTGAGAACACGAGCCTGCGCCAGCCAGACCAGTCCATCGTCAGGACCCTCCAAGTCATACAAGCTAGCGCTCAGAAGTCTCCTCAGTCGTTCGTGCATCAAAGTCCCATACTGTCGCTGCAGGCCATGCCCGTACATGGCACCGATCGAGCCGACCACCAGGAATAGCACCGGATGGTGGTTCTCCGCATCAAGCTGCTCCTGGTTCAATAACGGCCAGGTAGAGTTAAAATTTTCCATGTAAACCTCCACAAGATGATATATTGTACGATGAGGATCGGCCGCAGTCTTTCCAGTGAATCCGTTGAAGATGTCAGCCAGTTGGAGGGAGAGTGACTCCCAGTATCGCCGCCGGATGAGACGGTCATCCGGCGCGAAAGCAGTGTTGGCAGCGTAAGCCACCAAGTTTTCGATTACATTAGAAAGGGGTGAGACCGTGCTGCCCATCCTATTATTGGTGGCCGTTGCAACGGACTCTTCAGACTCATATCCTCCTGGGCTGTTGGTATTCGAATTTGACGGGTCCCGCGATCTTTGCTGGCCGCCTGATCTACGGTTGGTCTGCTTGCCGTTCTGCAGCAAAAACAGACTCTCATGTAACCAAGGCCAGGCGGTATCGTCGTGAGAGCCGCCAGGGCTACTGTCGTGCTCGGATTTGAGTGCGCTTTCCGCAACCTCACCGTCGACTCCTGGCATGTCAAGCCCAACAGGCTCCAAAGGAGGCGATTTTGGCGTCAAAATATGCGCTGATCGACCATGTTCCGAGGGCGTTTGCTCTGATACCCCGGGAGAAGATGCTGTGGAATCTACGTATTCGTTTCCGTTGCTTGGTGTTTCGACTCCGTCATGTCGAGGTGTCGTTCCAACTCTCGCAGAATGGCTGATGCGACCTGTCCTTGCTGGGTATTTGCACTCCTTCCGACCCTCAAAGCACAACTTACAGGGCATGTTGCCATCGCACTTGATCCTGAAAGTAGAATCAGTAACTATGCCAAACGCACGTTGCTRTTTCTTTCATCACACATACCCTGCAAAATCAGTTAGCAGTGCGGCAGAGAGGAAGTGGTTATAATCATATTGATGCGTACGAGCTCCACGGCATGATTCACAGGCCGTATGAACGCGATGCCTCGCAGCGTTCGGGCTCGCACAATGTCCGTTATTGACGTGCCGGTTCAGAATGTCGCGCCTGGCGAAGAGAACCCCACAACTTGGACATGAATGTTGCGGGGGGCCGTTGCTGTGATTATGCGCATGTCGAGTGAGAGATGTCCGGGTCTTGTACACCTTCGAACAGCCGGCTTCGGCGCATTTGAACATGTTCGGGGCATCGGTTGCAAAATTCGAAAGGAAATACAAACCTGTGCGCGAATGTGGGTGGTACAGACCTCAGACGGACAAAGTTTGGAAGGATCGTCGCCACCTTCCTGAAATAACTATAGATCGACATTCAGCGAATCCTTCAATCCTCCCTCGGCAGTCGACTGCTGTTGACCATGTCTTTCGAGTCTCATCATCGCAAAACGAAATCGCATCTCGCTGAACAACGACGACTCATGTATCTACAATCGTATCCAACTGTTCCACACACGCGTAGACAACCCCTTCCACCTGGCACTCACACTGTGCAAGAGGGAGGGGTGATTCATCGCACGCGAGTGCCACTGTGCGCGGTCCACGCCTCCWCTGCGTTATCTTAGCCGCGAATAGGCATTCGGATCATGTGCGTCCAACTCCCTTTCCCATCCTGGACAAACGCACGAGCACGTAGTACCTGATGTTGTATATCGCATATTCCTGCAAGTCTAACGCCATCGAGTGATTGCGCCTCCAAGTTGTGACTGGCCGGCCCCTAGCCAGTGCCAAAGGGTGGAAGGCCCATACCATCGCTGCCACCAAACAGCCCGCCTTGCCCTGTCAGGCTAAAGTTCCCGTCAAGTGCCCAGCTGAGCGGGTCGAAGACGGCGTTTCCACCAAAGACGTCCCAGGGCTGAGCCTCAAAGTCGGTGGCAGTTCCGTCCAGGAGTCCGTGACTAGGCGCCAAAGGACCTCCCATCCCGTTCTGCGGCAGCGGTGCATTCACATCGGTCGGAAGAGCGGTCGGGTTAGTGTCAGCAGTCGCAAGACTCTCTCGTCCAGCCTGACCGGCACGCTCACGCCAGCGCCATATGGCATCGTACAGTACTGAAAGCGATGACCGACACCGGACTTTGAGTTGAAGACTGTCATCCGGATCGCGGACCATGCCAGCGTCGTTGCCTTCCCCTTTGAACAGGCCCGCTTCACTTGCTCCGCTCGCCTGCCAGAGCTGAGCCATGACTTCTGCAAGCCGCTGTGGAAGATCGTTGGAGCGTACGCTCAATTTACGAAGTGCCGTGACGGTTGCGAAGAAGAGGGTGCGCCCATGATCTATATCGACATGCGCCGCATAGAATGAGTTTAGAATTTTCAACAGAGTTACAGACGCGGCGAGCATCATCTGCTCAATGTAGCGTGGGACATAGGCGAACTGCTCCACGGGCATATCGCTGAGATKCGACGACAGCGCAGACGCAGCGATGTACACATTTCGGAGATCAGTGTGGTAGTTGGGCGACGTGGTCTTGTCGAAAAATGCAGTCAGACGGAGATGGAGTGCAGCTGCCTTGAGGAAGAGAACTTGCACCGCTGCAACGAGGTCAGTCAAGGTTTGCTTGTTGTGACAGGGGTACAAAACTTACGGGAGGTGTTAGTAGACAAAACAGTAACCTCAAGCTCACCAAGTTCGCGAGCATACATATCGATTTGAAGCCCGCGCTGAGCCTGGTCCACCTCGACGACATGGTCGCGCYGCATTGTGAAGAGAGTCCTGGTGACTGTGTCACAGAACTTTTCGACTTGACATCTGATTTGGAGCTCTGGCTTCATACTGTCAAGATGCAGGCCATAGGTGAACCATGCCCATCGCGCAAGTGGTGGCTGGCCATTGCCTGTGCTGACATTTTGGGCGACGATGTTGATGGCTGCCCAGGTGTTGAGTCGATCTGCAATATCCTCCTCACGAAGATCAATGCGAAAGCGGCTAAAATCCTGTGCATGGGATGGGCGATGCAAGCCGTACTGCATTGCCAGCTGAAACATGATCCCACATAGCATCATCGTAGGTTCTTGTGACGTGGAGGAAGTGGGGAGTGGCCAGGTGCATAGTAATGCCAGTGCTTTGCAGACGTGGTAGACCTGCGGCACCTGCGACAAGGTCGTCCAGAGAATCTCCTCGAGTGGTCGCTGCAGTTCCATGAAGAGACCAGGCTTGGAGTCATAGCGACGGGCTGCAATGGCCAAGATTGTCCAATGTAGAAGGGGGTGCTCGCTATAGTATTCCTTGTAAGTTGTCGCCGGATTGRGCAGCGGCAAGAACGGGTGGTAGGACGTGAAGTAAATACCGTATAGCTCGATTAGCTGCGCTTCCGTGAGGGTCACCCCTCCGAGCGTTGTATGCGAAGTGCCCGGGGTAATGGAGGGATAGCTCGTGGGTGCCAGCTCGCGATAGCCTTGACTGAGGTCCAGGAGGCTTCGAGAAGCAGCAGCCTCGCTGGCTCCAAGAAAGGCATTGCCCGGAGCTGCTGTCATGGGCGCTACCGGAGCTCCTCCGGCTGGTGAGGCCTCATAGCTGCCAGCATAGTTGGAGCCCGGACGCGGCGTATCGCCTGCGGGCAGCTGTATGCCCAAGCTCTCGTATTGTGCCAGACGGGCACGGCACATGTCCAGTTCTCGCACCATCTCTTCGTGCGCCGCGCGCTTCCCCAACCGCTTGAAGTCATTGTCGATGCTGCACTTCAGACCGTGTTTGATGCATCGATCGCAGGGCTTGTACGTCTCTCCTGGGCCGGCAACGACGTTGCATCGCAGCTGGAGAACCGTCAGTGAGGTGTGATCGCGTGGCATTGGATCTTCAAGCAGGGCGTTCGCATCGATCGGAATTGTGCTGCCATCTGCGACTCCATCAAGCCATGAATCACTTGCATACCACTCCACCTGCTGATACCGGGGAGGACTCGGACTCGACTAACCTTTTGTTGGCGACAGTCATTGCACGCCCGCTTCACTCCTGGCTGGTGTCGTTGCTTGCCATTGCTCTGGCTGGCCGGACTGCCCGCGAAACCCCCGCTGCCATCGCCGCCGTCTGCGTCGCCATTCTCGGCGCGCGAAGAACTGCGTTTCCGCTTTCTGCCGCTTTCATTGATGGTCGGGGATGCTGCGACGGGCGTCGTCTGCTGCGGCGAGATCAGCTGTGCCGATTGTGGGTCAAAAGCGGTGCCACCGTGCCAGGACATGACGGCTTTTGGCTTCTCAGTTCAATGGACGTCGTGGCCGGTGTCGGGAGGGCGTGCGATTTCGCTGACGGATGTTCGACAAGGAAAGTCCCTTCATTTTTCCTCCCCGCCTTTCGCCGTTAACGCTGTTTTGATTCGGCAGCGGCGGCTCAGCGGCCAGCGGGGCCTTCTATGTACCTCCTACGGGCATGGTAACTTCTCCCTTCATCACCACATCACCTTCGTCTGGTAAACGCGTGCAGATTATGCTGCAGAGACCCCCTACAAATGTTGCGGCTTGTCAAATTCTATGGTACCATCCTTGTCAGTTTTGACTTTTCGGTCGGTCGAGGTCGGCGAGAGCATGAAGAATGGAAGCCCCTTGTACAAATGAATGCATCACGGTCGAGTATATTGATTTATCTTGCCCAAGAACTCATCTTGTCATCAAAGATTGTTATCAATCACGAAGAAGCTCCTCGCCTGAAGCATACGCAAGACGCAGAACTGCTCTTCGCGCCGACGAATGCCTTGCCGCAACGACTACCCCACCATGCTCATACTTCTGCGGTCTCTTGGGCGTACCTGATGTCTGCCTCGATCTGGAGGCTACGTGTCGACACGCTGTTGTCCGCTGGATCCTCAAAGTCAACCTATGGAACCTCTCAGCAGAGATCATGGCAGCGGTGGATCCGGGCCGTCCAGCGTATAGACAGGCGGACCTTGCTGGTCGCTGCCACTGTTACATTTCAGGCCTTGTAATTCTTATTCCGGGCGCTCTCGACTCACCAGCGTGGTCTGCGATGGTCATTTATTGCGACAGTAGCCCGGCCATTGCACGACCAGTGAACACTGCACACGCACAATCTGGAGCAGGGCAGAGCTCCAAGTTCTTTGTGACCTACTGCGAACTCTGGTAGTTCCAAAGTACTAGCTGGTGGTTATGCCTCTCGCTTGGGATTTTGCCAGTGGTGACAGTAAACTCACGTTAAGTTGCTGGTTCCGCTTTGATGGTATTCATCCTCTTGGCCACCGTTGGAATTGCAGTTGAGAAGGCTGCAGTCCCAAATTTTCCTCTTTCTTAGCATCGACATTTAGCATCGCACTGTCTGCCGACACTTCTTCCTACTCTTCCGTCGCTGCCGACTCTTCCTATTGCTCTACTATACCTGTTGCACCGACAATACCTACCGCTCAAAACCCTACCCCACGAGATTCTGCTTGATACATACGGTCTTCGCATCGACGCACGCTTCTACTTCGTACATGTACGCTGACATCGCTCGCTAGAATGATGCCTTCACGTCGGGAGTCTACGCCATTGCTGGTTGCATTGCTAGCACTGGGACTTCTCGGAAGCGCTCATGGCGCCCCAATGTTGAATGCGTAAGTCTTCACCGCTGCGCTACATCTCGCTTGCGGAGTGGCACACCACACTTTTGTCAAGGCTCTCGCGCGCTGGGAAATTCCGGTCTCGCAACGACAGATTCTGGCAACAAGAGTGCCCCAAAACGTGCCTCTGCTGCTAAATGTCTGCTGACTTGCTCCAAGTGACCAACCTTTCCCAATCTACATTCCTGTCCGACCTGGGCAGAAACCCTGCGATATCTACGTTTTTGGTGAACAGAATGGCCGGGATGTATTCCTCAGCCAGACTTCACAGTATGAAGCTGTGAACGCCGCCCCAGGACAGCCACAGCCAGAGCAGCTCTACGCCCATGCTCAAGGTAAGAGCTCCCTGCATCCAAATTGTTCTTCCGACGGCCAAAAGCTGACAAGTGTCTAGGGAGCGTGATGAGTCTCCCTGTTGGTGATCTTTCATCTGGCCGAATCTATGCGCATTGCGGCGGCAAATTCTCGTTCATGAAAGTCATCGACGCCGCGGGCAAGTCAAAGATTCAGCCAACCCCTGCTGAAGATGCCGTGTACAACTTTGTGGAGCTCACGACCACGAGGGGAACCATTTACATCGACATTTCGGCCGTCGACATGCTGGGTAACCCGCCATGTAAGTGCGATTCACCAGTATAAACATTCGATGCGGCCGCACTCGATCTCTTTCGAACAACTCTCTTGATGCAGCGATCGTTCTGCCCTCAAAGCACCGATCTCACAACGAGATAGAGAGACTTTGCMTTTGCTGACACATCTCACAGTGGGCTATAAGCTGGAAGGAGGCCACACCGGCAAACAAGCTTGGGGAGCCAACCCCGGGTCATTGGACCGCATCTGCGCCGACTTGCAAAGCCAGAGTAACGCAGACGGTATGCCTTGGGAGCATCTCTGCGTTGAGCGGAACGGCGAGATCCTGAGAATTCTCTCACCAGGAGAGTACATGAAGAACAATCCTTCAGCATTCGAGGATTATTTCAACGCACATGCCAGAGCAGTATACACGCAGTGGAACGCTCAGCCCAAGCAGTACAATCTCGGCAATGTCGGAAACGTGACTTGCGTGGGCGCCGCCGATGGTAGTTCAGCAACATGCAATGGTCGGTCATATGGTCTGCCAACCTCTGCCGATGTCTTCGGATGCGCATCTGGGCCTTTCGCCGCGGTTGCGGCGCCAGGTGACCCCCACGAGGCTCTCCGCGCTCCTTTCTGTGCCGATTTCAACCGGGGAACTGCCATGTCTAGCGACGCTGCGACCTCTCCTCAGAACTGGTATAGCACCGCTGTGCACAAGGAGTTGCCAGACATTTATACGTTCCCCTTCGATGACGTCCGCGTTGATGGCTTGGCACGAGACAGCACGCTTACGAGTTCGTCGGCGACGGGGTTGACTATCATTATCGGTGGGACATGGCCGGATGAATATCCCGGATGACTACTGCGTGGTATTGCAGTCGTATGAGTTTGAGTGTGTGTGGGGAAATACTTGCAGGCTACCTCCAAGCTTCCAAGCGCGATGCTTGGTTGTCCACGACCACATGCTCAATCATTCCGCTGTACTGAGCGTCGGGTTAGGGGAAGCGGGGCGATGAGTTCATTATGGTGCTGACAATCAAAGACGGAAAGCTGTCCTGGATCCGAAAGGGAGGACGATCTTTTTGTCATAAGGCGTTGGGTGCTGTTGTAACTCCTCAAGGGCAGATAACRAGGGATAGTGATTATTCTATACGAACGAGTAATCATGATTGCTTTCAAAACTTCACAAAAGGTGTGCCCAGAGTGCTGCGTCCACCGCTCGCAACCCATTCGCGGGAATGAGGCGAATCTTAGCGGTGATGGCGAGTATTGTGGATATGGAGATTGACGCAAAGTGCATTTATCAAGGTTTACAGCTTACAGAAGAGTGCGGTCACTAACATGTGAGAATCATGTCTACTTCAGAGGATATTGACATGATGCACAGAGAGTACATCCCTCTCCCTCTAGACCCAGTCGAGCTTAGCGGCAACTAGCGTGCCAAGAGAGAAATGGAGTGAATGGCTATGTAATCACACAAACATCGTCCTTTAGCGATAAGACGAGATTTCCAGACATCGCAAATTTGACCCGGTGTTATCTCTTGGCTACCAATATCCTTGGTTTTTCTTCTCTATAGTGAAGATGAGTTAGAGATAGAGGTAGCATATGGAGGAATCTTACTCTGACCATAGAGAACTCCGTCGGGTCTTCACTGTGCTTTATCGTGAATTCCCCTTGCTACTGGAACATGGAAGTCTTATAAGCTACCCACACCTCGATCCTGACATGAGAATCTGGAAGGATAGGGAGGTCCGACCCGTCGACGGGGAGGACAAATCTAGCTTTAAGGACAATCTCAAGGTCAAACGCTGCGCCTGTTCGTCGCCATCGCATCTCCCAGGTGCTGAACACTCGGATGGGAATGTCCTGTATTGAACGAGAAATAGCCGATACAAGACATCGATCTACCGAATTTCGGACAAAAGGTCTGAGTGAGGTGTAGCTGCGGCAGGGGAGAAGATGGTAAACAGCGGTGCTCGAGGCGCCGACATTGCCACACTCACTTGCTTGATCTCAGCGATTCAGCTTACTCGAGCAACTCACGAGATCCCAGAGACACAGCACTGGTCCAGGCACAAATTTCCCCTGGCCCAGCGCCGTGTCCTCAGTGATATGGTCTCACCAGCGGATAGTCCATTGTTCAACCTATGGTAAAACTTTCACTTCGCGAAAAGCCTTGTTATAACGTCGATGATCTGGACCTCATGCCATCGTGCTATTCTCTTCGTTGCAAGGCAGTGACGATCATCAGTCGACGTAATACGGTCTCCTGAACACGCTTCCTTGTCAAGTGGCATGGTACTGTCCCGCGGCGACCTCTTCGGGCTCCGCCACGCGTTCTCCGCAACGACTCGCTCTTTTCCTTGGGGGATATCCTCCCGCGACGGCATGACATGCTCCGCCTCGATGGCGGATGGCGGATGGCGGATGGGCTTGGGTGGTGGAGCACAATCAAAGGACCGGTACAGCAGACTCGGGGTCGTCTGGCGGGAGGAGCATGAGCGGGACATCAAGGCAGTCATGGAATATCAGAAAGTGTCGGGCGGAGTGAGAAATAGAGCGTATTCAGCTGAGAGTGAATGCCACTGCAGTCGCGCAGAACTCTCTCTGTCGTCTGTGAACGGCAATAGGCATGTAACTTGGGATGAAAGTGTATCATCATCAACTAGATCGTCTTCTTGTTCGTGTCCACCCTGCCTCCGCTTTCTGGCCTCTCCAGAAGTCGCGCAAACAGAGCCGCAAATCCAACTGCGACAGTAACAAGATCTACGACATGCACCGCCCACCAAATATGCTGCACGCCCGCTTCGCAGCTCGCATACTCGAAACTCCACCTCTTCTCGACATCATCCCACCAAGCACTGACAAGCCCAGCGTTGCCGTCGAAATCACCCATCATGCTACGAACAGTGACTTCTCTCACTCCGACAAAGCGGGGGTGTCTCTTGAGCGCGCCTTGAGGCGAGTGGTAGGCGTATGCTTGCCACGAACGCYCTTCTACATCCTCACTCTCCTGCGCGCGTTTCTCATCATCGGAAAGCAAAGCATGATAGACTTGACAACCTTCGTGATCGTGACCATTCAACACCAAAKCTTTGGGATCCCGACGTTCACCGCCAACGAGAGCATCAAGGATAGTTTCGCTGGTACTATAGGTGAGGTGGTTCTGTTCCTTGATGCCACCACCGTTGTCTTCTGCAAAGTAGTCCACGAACGGGCCGTCAACGCAGATACCGGAGTCCTTATAAAGGGGAATGTGAGTGAGCAGTATTGTTGCTGTCTGAGGAGATGTAGCATCCTCCGTCAGGTGCTGGTGGAGGAAGTTGATACTATCAGCGCGGAGATCATTGTCATAGGCAGGAGCGTCAAGGTTCATCGAGTTGAGTATAACAAGACGCAGCTGGGGTGAATCGTGAGAAGAATTGAGTGCAAAACGCACCTCCCAGTTGAGACTGCCGTATGCTTCTTYGAAGCGAGCGAGACGATCTTTAGTGATGTCGCCTGCGTATCCAATGTCGTGGTTCCCCGCCACGGCGATGATGCGATGCTTCCATGTTTGATCCGCACCCAGGACTTGCACTGAAACTTCGTTGGTAACCTCTTTGCCAAGTTTGATTCCCTTCGAAAAGACGGTCCCCCAGAACCGATCTGTTCGTCTTGCAAACTCGTCGTCGCCGATCCACTGGCTGCCCAATAGGTCTCCCAACACCACAACGTGTGTCGGGTTTGACCACCAATGCATGAGCCGGTAGATATGCGCCAGATATCTGTCATTTCCCCACAGATCCAGCTGTTTGCGATAAGACTTGATCAATTGTGGAACATCGCGGCTCAGCAAGCTCTTTCCATGATTTCTCAATGATGTCAAAAGTCCATCCTGGTCTCGGCCATCGAGGACGTTCCACAGAGCATGCAAGCTTGGAAGAAGAGGTGCATTGGGATTTGGTAGGGAGGTGTCGCCCTCTAGTTGTGGATCGGCCAGAGTGAGAAGCCGGAATGGCGCTTGCTTGCCATTTTGGGCGCTGGGGAAATCGCACTGCTTGAAGGCTGGATACAGGTAGAGGTGAACTGTGGAGAGCGTTGCTATCGGGAGCAGGAGTCGAAAGAAGGCGAGGAGGAGGGTGGAGAGGCGCATGGATGAGAAGCAGACATTATTGTTGTCATTCACTCGTTGGAGATTACAGGAGAGAGGTGCTGAGGTGTGATTCAAGTCGAACTAGCGAGGTCGCGTCGTCGTTTCGGATTTTCCACCCGACTTTCTTTCTCCACGCGCTGGATGTCACATTCACTTGCACTCTCCAAACGTCACATGCAGACTTTGTGTTTGATTTGCTTGCATTGAATATTACAGGTTTCAACCCATCTCGCCGCCTGCCGTCTCGTTCTGCTTGACCTTTGCACCGAGATTGGATGATGATGAGCAGCCCTGCAAGACAAGGCATGTGGAACATTCTTGTCGGCTTCCATGATCCGTCCTCTCCCCTCCGCTGGGCTTGGGGTGATTTGGATCAGGCGTGCGCTAGACATGCATGGCGGCGTACTTTTGGAAACACAGCAGCCGTGGAAGCCCAGCGATCTGGTTGCTACGAGCAGTGGCTTGCGGGAAAGATGAGGCTCATAGCGAGTCCTTTCTTGGTGCATGGTTTCATGGCCTTGATGGGTAATGAATACCATAACTCTCTCGAGACATCTTCGTTCGCTCGTGTTTCGGCTATAGCCTTTGCATCCACTGTAGACCCATGCTGCTGCATGTCTAGCGTACAGTGTAGTGTGTGCTCTGGGAGTCTTGGACTGATCCGAGGAGCTGGCTCCGCCCGCCCTGAGACGAGCAGTCGTGCACCGCCTTGCTTCGGCACTTGGCCGTGAAGAAAGATGTGGAACTCCCTGAATAGGAGCTGTATGTATATCTCATGTCACGACCAGCAGAGTCATAGCATCATCTGCAGCTGCATCTGATCGTGAACATGAACCAGGGCCTGCAACAACGAGTCTGTGAGTGCAGCGTACCGAAAGTGCTGCAGAGATGATTGGAGCGCGGACGAATTGTGAAGGGGCCCCAATGCAGTCGTGCATGCGACCACATGCATGCTCTATGCAAGCCTGGTGGCGATGGCAAGTTCGCTCGTGTGAAGTCTCCTTGCAACGCTTTTACACAGTAAGGTACTTTAGTACATATCAGCAGAGTTTGCGGTGCATATGTATCTGGATCGTTGTCCTCGCCGTCAAGCAATCCAGAAGCCAAAACGACCTCTGCTCTGCCACTTTCCACCCTCTCCACGCCAAGCAGTCGATCTTCATCCTCTGACGTCTTCGCAACTGCCGACAGGCCAGACTCACTCTAGAGTCGAAAGAGAGATCGCGCGGGTCGTCTCTCTCCCACACGTCCCTTAACTTACGGCCACACGACCAAGCGGCCGTTTCGCGTTGTCGTGCGGCCTCTCTTGCTCAACGGCCATTCTTACCTTAATTGCAGACCGAGACGCCCACCCACCCGACTCCACACCTTCGTTAATCCTGGATCCTTGCGCGCGCAGCCTCTGTCAATTTCACGTCGTCTCAAGAATCTTGCCTCTGCTTCAGCGACCCGGTCTCCGCCACGTCCTCCGCCCCGCGCTGTAACACCAGTGACCACGCAAGCTCGCGTGCTACAATCTCCCGCATCTTCGTCGAAAGCGACTCCACGCGACAAATTTGTGATGCGCATATCCAGAAGCACACGCGTGTGAGTGAGATTGGAGTGGGAGCGACCTGACCATCTGCGTCTGCCAACCTCTTCGACTTGCCATCTATTCCTACCTGCATATACCTAATCCACCCTCTGTTATACATCCGCCTGGATCTCGAATACACCTATTGTTTGCTGGGCCTGGACAGGAAGAGTGGTGTGCATGCCATTGGTAGAGAGACATCGCGGTCGAGCTTGGGCCGGCAATGGACTCTCCGTCCGGCGCAGTCGAGCCTATCGCTGCACCAACATGGCGACGAGATGTGCAGCAGTCGAAGGTGTCACGAGACAAGCAACCGGAGGAGGTTCTTACAGCGGATCAACGGGACGTCATACGGATGCTGGCAGACATGGAGAGGAGAAATGCGCAAAGAGCCAGATCACCATCGATGACAAGCACTGACAGTCACACATCGATCGAAGACTTCGACGCTGCCGTTCAAGCCCTGGCAGTCCTTGAGCAGCACGTCAGGAATACGCCKCCTATACTACTTGCCCTCGACGACAACCATTCCGGCCTTCCACCTACACCACCAACCATGACCAGCAGTGAAGTTGCAGAGACAAAGCCTGCTCGTACACTCAGTCCAGAATCGCACGTCTTTGCAGACCGAGTAAGAAACGCTTTGAATCAGTCGCACAGGTCAGGCTTCAGTACTCCAGTGACCGAGGCCCATAGTCCCCCGACCCCCGATCACTCACCGCCCAGCATACGTGAGACGATGGCGGTCCCGCGACCAAAGCTCATTCACGCTTACAGTTCGTTTGCAGACTCCTTCAAGACTGCAAACGAGGGATTGAGCAGTGGTGAGAGCACCCATCAGCTTCACTCGCCCATCGATGAACAGCTGCCGGATTTGAACTTGCTGGGTGTTGACCTCATTCCGGAAGTCGCAACTCCAGGCAGCGATACGGGCACCGCAACACAAACCGATGCCTCTGAAAATCGTCCGGTTAGAGTCAAACACTACCAGACGGAGTCGGAAAGCGACTTTGATAGGCCTACGAGCTCTCATACAGGTGACTCTCATGAGCCTGATATGTCACCCACCATTCAGCAAGCATTGCCCCATCCGTCTGGTTTTGCATTCCAGCACCGACTCAGAGCTCCCATCAAGCCTGGAGATGACATCAAGCAAATGGACAATGCGCTACTGTATGCTTCCTCGAAATGGCAACCACGTGTGACTGTGCCGACAGTGGCCAAAGATCTGGACATTGAAAGATATCCAACCCCGCGGCGCGAAATGGATACTGAAAAGTTGAAAGCCGCACTTCCCGCCCACACGGCATCTCCCACACTGATCGAGAACGTCACTCCGCATCTTCGACCCAGAACGCCTRTAGAGCATCCGTCTTCACCAATCGCCGACCCAGCTTCACCGCAGATCGAGAGCATCCCGGAGCCCACTTCTCCACCCGCCACTGCTACTGGCCAAGCAATTTTAGAAGGAAACAATGCCACTTACCAATTCATACAGAGAGAGAATGCAAAACGTTATAGTGCGATCAGTGACGGTAGCGGAGTCCAAGTCGTGGTCGTCACCTCACCGGAACACAAGCGAACTCTCAGACACACTCCCAAACGCGAATCACTCCGCGCCGACGTGAGCCTAGCCAGTAACAGCAAACGAGGAAGTCTTGACGGCGGCAACCACAAGTTGAAATACAAACGTGCGATGCCATCACTTAGTGATGATGGCGACGAAGCTGGGAGCCCGAAGGTTGAGCCTGAGGAGTTCTATCGCCGAGCAACGAAGCCCCTTCCCATCGCTCATGCATCTGTTGGGCCTCTCGGTCTTCATCAGAGTCGCCACGAGGTCCAGCACGGATATCGCTCGCTGTCTGGTGACACGGGCGCCGATTATCTGAAGGGCAAGACAGCGCTGACTAATTCGAACGGACCAACATTCGCACCTCGTCGTGCCCAGACATTGAGAAGATCAGTGCGAGACCAGGCATTGGACCGAGTCGAATCCTCTGGCGGAGATGGGATGCGTGGTCGACCTTGGAGCGCAGATCCTATGGGCAAGGGCTTCGGCTCCGGGTCGAAGGAAGAACAAGCACGCCCACTGCACAAGTTGAGACGAACCTCTGCAGAAAAGCGCTTGTGTAACTTGGGCGAGGTGCGAAGAACAAGCCTGGGTCGTTTGGACGAGCTCAGGGCTACACCGAAACTCAGCAGGAACCTGTACGAAGATGGTCCGGAGCAATTAAGTGCGAACGGCAGCATGATGTCTCGAGCTGTCAATGCGTCCCTTTCGCCGCCCAAGCTGAGGAGAACTTCAGTCGAGAGAAGGCTGGAGAACATTGGCGAGGACAGACAGGAAAACACAGACCTCAGTTCTGCATCGGCTGACCTCGCTCCTGGCTCTCATGATGATTACGACCGTGACTCGTGGCGCGAGTATGGGAAATCCTCTGATAAGACGCTTCCAATTTCGCCGCGGCGCAAGAGCTTGGACCTGCGGCACTTGCACCCAGTGGAGACACCGTTATCATTCAGCCAGACTTCGGGCACTGAGGGTGAACTTTGCGAAGCCAGAGGCGTAGAGATCTTCCCTCATCACAATGAAAGTCTGCTGCTGATTCACGGAAACGAACGTGAAAATGATCAAGCGAACGAGGAAGCGACAGCTCCAGGTGCTCCAGAGCCGATGTTTCAGGCATTCGTACAGCCACCGGACTCTCCAAACACAGGAGTCAGGCGGTCTTCGCCCTCGGCGCACAGTCCACTTACCAACCCACGGGCTGCGCCCGAGCCTCCCAAGCTAGTATTCATACCGCCGACGCCTGTCGATGAGCTTGACAATCAGTTTGGCGATCCTGCATCGAGCTTTGGCCCTCGGCAGCACCTACAAAGACGTGCAAGCTTGACCGAAAGAGTCAGACGATATAGCGCGAGTCTGGTTCAGCCCATTCCGTTTGGCCGCTCAAACAGTGCGCGCAGACAGCCAATTGAACGACCACAGACGTCACCCGACAACAGACCTACACATCTCAACCCTTTCTGGCAACCACGTAATTTCTGGGAAGAGTATTCCAGCAGCGATGACGATGATGACGACTTCGCCGATGACCGTTTGCCTCCCGGTGGGGACACCTCAGATGTCCAAGAGAAACGCAATTCGTTCTTTCCGCGCAGTATGAGCGTGAGGTTGCCAGGATTCCGTGGGAGAGGTGGATTTCTGCAAGGCAACAGCCTAGGTATAGACAGACATGGCACCAACAACCGAAGACATCACGTCACGAAGCGCACCAGCGAAGAGATGATGCAACGTATGGTTGAGCGCAGACGGAGACGAACCTTCACCTTGCCCTTCACCGGCGGAACAAGGGTCGAGTACGTTGGACTGGCGGCTCTCAGCTCGAGAGTGAGGGAGGCCAAGATCAGAAGACGGGAGCGCGCAGCCGAAAAAAGGAGGGGCATTTTACGCGAGCAGATCAGTCCACCGGTCTGAAAGTCGCGGGTGAGAGTTCTGAGATGCACGATCACGCAAGCGTATCAAGGTCATCATGAGTTCGATGCAGCAGTTATGACTCGGCAAGGTATTGCGTCTTGATATATTGGTTCTTGTGGCCGGGGTGCCAGCGGCCAGTTGAGATCACGATTTAACGAATTTTACGACGAACTGAGAGATGGAAGATGATTGAAGATTCACGAATCTGGGTACTGAGCGCAGAGCCTGTAGTGGATGATCCCACTACCGCTCGTGCGCACGCTGTATAGTAAACAACGCAAGCAATGATGACACATGATTCGATTGTTCATATGGATGGGTACATGTTCCGCAATCCTGTGGGACGTAGAGGCGACATTCCGTCTTCATAAGCCTCAAATGTCCTACTGCTGATTGGAGTTGGCAGTCCTCTACTGAACACCTGGTCGCAAGTATTAAGCAAGGTGATCGCAGACGTTGTGTCGTTACAACAACGGCGACACTACGAAAGAGGCAACGGAATCCCGCATTGTGCGAACAGGAACAGTGTATTGCACATGGCGAGTTTGGTCGTAGGGCCATCCGATTGCTTACCCTTTGATCGTGATTCGTTACCCGGTTTGCCAACTCCAACCGTCAACGTGGCTGGCCACGATAGGAGTACCTACGGAACGCGCTCTCCCCACAAAAAATGTACCTGGTTCCTGATTTAATTCTCCGGTTAGAAATCACCTCAGCTCTTGCAGAGTGACGACGTTGTTCCCGAATGGGCATCAGATTCTGATCTCGATCCTAAGCGCGAGGTTTGACAATTGGCCGAAGACGCAATCCGCAAGACTTGGTCCCTTGGTATTGAAATTGAGTCTTGTGATTCCTTCGCCACTACATTGATTGACATATCGATGAGTCAGTAGTTCATGGCTTGATAAACCAGAGGGAGAGAATCTGTCAGGGATTGCAGTCTCTACCGCTGCGTAGTCTGTCGAGCTGCTCGATGTTGCAATCGTCGATCGGAATTGTGCGGGCATTCAGGCTAATCAGATGGTATCGTAGCGATGCAGTCTCAACTCATTCACGCAATACGACTTTTCCAACGCAAAAGCAATTATGGATATGTGATTTTGTTACCACCAGTTCTGAAAATCGCCGGGCAGTTACTTACCTTGGCTCAACTTCCTCTCACGTATTAACCGCAAAGAGACTTTACGCAAAAGATGGATATGCACAGGAATCTAATCGTCACGCTCGCCGGAAATCAACTTTTGATCTCGATCGACTGCAACACGGCTTCGATCGCAGGCGTGTGTCGGTCTTGGATAACATTCGTTCAAGCTACCAAAGGACTACCATGACAGATTTTTTTGGGAAGAAGAAGCCGAATGACCTACCTGACGTAGATGTTGTATGGGCGGGCGTCTTTGGCACTGCGTATAGGGGTGCCAAAGCCGCTAGTGCCGCTAGCGTCTTTGCTAGCCGGGTACTCTGTAAGTGAATGATGTGGAGCTTGTCATGGAATTGCATCTGACTCAACAGGAAGGTCTGGACTCTGCAGTGTCATTTCTAAAATCTGACCCAGGTTGCTATCAGAATGGAAATGGTTACGTCATTAGCATCGATGGGTTGGAGTGTTGTGGATGGTGTGAAGGCATCTAGATTGTCGGGGTCAAAGACATGCCCACTCTAGCAAGCATATTCTGTGGAGTGAGTAAGATTCAATTGAAATGTGGGACATGTGAGACCATGAGTGAAGATTTGTTTGATTCGTTGTACGACCTTTGCTTTGCGTATTGTGTGATGAAATAGCGACGGGAAGAGACCTCCCGTCAGCTCCGTGGCGAGTATTTCAAGNTGTTTGATTCGTTGTACGACCTTTGCTTTGCGTATTGTGTGATGAAATAGCGACGGGAAGAGACCTCCCGTCAGCTCCGTGGCGAGTATTTCAAGCCACCTCTGCCTCAACAGCTCAACATTCGTTATACGACCTTTGCTTTGCGTACTTGTGTGATGAAGGAGCGACGGGAGGAGACCTCCCGTCAGCTCCGTGTTTGATTAGTTGTACGACCTTTGCTTTGCGTACTTGTGTGATGAAGGAGCGACGGGAGGAGACCTCCCGTCAGCTCCGTGTTTGATTCGTTGTACGACCTTTGCTTTGCGTATTNTTTGCTTTGCGTACTTGTGTGATGAAGGAGCGACGGGAGGAGACCTCCCGTCAGCTCCGTGTTTGATTCGTTGTACGACCTTTGCTTTGCGTATTCTGTGATGAAGGAGCGACGGGAAGTCTCCTCCCGTCAGCTCCGTGTCGAGTATGTCAAGCCTCCTCTAGCTCAACAGCTCAATAGCGGAGGTGCCCATTCGCGAATGGTATCACCTCTTGATCCTGCTCCGATGCCTATATTACTTCCAACCCTTGCTTCGTGTAGGCTCAACGATGCAATTTCGTGATGATTCGTAGCGATGGAATGAGACCTCCGTGGTAAGCATCCCAAGCCATGTCTGTCTCAACAGCGGAGGTACCAATCAGTGAGTAGTGTCGTCTGTTGGTCCTGCTTCAATGCCGTTGAGTTCATCCACTTGATGCACTTGATGTCTGTCTCAACAGCGGAGGTACCAATCAGTGAGTAGAATCATCTGTTGGTCCTTCTTCAGTGCCGTTGAGTCCATCCCCTTGATGCCCTTGACTCTCCGATCGATCGTGACGAGTAGGCCGAGGGTCATTGATGGCAGTCCATCTAGGCGGATCCATGTCCATCTCATCCGTCATGTTAGGCCTCGGGCTTGCTCCAGCAGTGTTGCTGTCTGTATCGCCATATGCAGCGGCAGCATCGATTGTACGGAGCCTCTCTCGTGCGGGAGCCGCCACAACCTGGGGGCGGGCGTCGCGAGCGAAGAACTCTCGAGATTGCTCATCAAAGACTCCGCGATGATCTGGAGGAGCGGGCGGGAAGCTGGCAGAAGGCCTCTCTATGTCAGGACGAGAGACGCAATGTCTCTTCATGACATGGCTGAGTCCATCATGCATCTCGCTTGCAGCGGGCGCCGCAATCTGATGGGCAGCGTGGCCAGCGAGGCCCTGGAAGCCTCGATCATCAGGGGATCCACGACGGGGCGGAGCTGGCGAGAAGCTGATAGCAGGTGTCTCTGTGTCGGGACTAGGGAGGCGTTGTCTCTTCCTGCCATGGTTGAATGCGTCATGCATCTCTTGCGCAGCAGGCGCCGCTGTCTGAAGGGCAGCGTGGCGAGCGAGGCTCTGGAAGCCTCGCTCATGTGGGGGTCCGCGACGGGGCGGAGCTGGCGAAAAGCTGACAGCAGGCGTTTCTGTGTCGGGGCTAGGGAGGCGCTGTCTCTTCCTGTCACGGTGGACTGCGTCATACCTCTCTCGCGCCGCATCCTGAAGTTCAACTTCCTGAGCAGCGAGGACCAACATCCGAACACCTTCCGCACCACCAGAGTCTATGTTGGGGACAATGGGCTCCACATTTGGTTCTGGAGAATGTTGTTCCAGCGACTGGCCACGGCTGTCGACATGTGTAGACGGAAATGTCGCTTGAGAGAGCAAGAGATTGCTGGCATGTGGTTGATGTGCCGGAGAGTTGGCGTGGCTGTCATGTACGTCGATATAAGGTACGGTATCTAGTATCCTGCGATATTCGTGAAGGTACTGCTGACGAGCATGGGAAGACGGGGCCGAGGGTGCACCATGGCTTGAAAGCCCAAAGTCGGATTGGGGCGGCGAAGGGGGTCCGGGATAGGGAGTAGCTGGCGGAGAGCTGACTTCGACCTCCTCTGCGTCAGGAGAAAGGACAGATGGGCCCTTCCTGCCATTTCCACCGGTATGAGAAGTGCGTTGGTCGCTTTGTTTGGCTTTGCTGGACCGGGTGCGAGATTTGGTTTTTCTGGTGGCATGAGACTTGCCATTGCTGCTTGTCGAGTCTTGTGGAACTTTCTCCTCCTCCTCCTCTTCCTTCTTCTTCTTCTTCTTGGATTTCGAGCCTGGTGCTTTGGCCGGACGCTCTTTCACTTGCCACGACTTCTTTCGGAGAGACCGGTAGGAGCGGCCCATGGCTTGGATCAGATCAGAGTAGCTAGCGCCATGGGCACGATGGTACTTCAAAAAGGCTTTCTAATGAAATTGAGAAATCAGCACAGTGTTGGTGATCGAGCATGAACGTGTGTCGCAGAGAGCTGTTGATTCGAGGCATGTCCCAATGAAAGGGACCTTGCTCGCGACTTGCATAGTACCTAACAGCTCTGCATGATTTGCACTTACTTCTTCATCTCTCCATGTTTTCCCATCGCGGTCAGCTGTAACAACTGATTTCAGCTCTGCAAGGGTGTGCCCGTTGAGAAGTGGTTCTGGACTGCTGATTGACATGCCGGCTACATGATTCAAAAGAGCGCTGACTTTTGTGGTGGGTAATGGGGCAGTGACTGCAGGATCGCTGGTCTGTTGAGTATTTCTTCCTGGGGGGTTGGAGTTGGATTCTGAACCCATCCGGGTCTCTCCGAGGGCCAATGGACAACCCTGTGAGAGAGACATTGTTAGCATTCAAACCAGAACGACCCCATCAATGGTCAATGGTGGATGAGATTTCGGTTTACTTTGTCGTGCATCGGCCACTGCACACCTTGTCTAGCCCATAAGGGCCTGCAAGTACAGTCGGAAGGCATGATATCGTTCTGCGATCTGTCGAAGAGGAGAGAGAGAGAGAGAAATGGGAAGATGAACGCGATAGAAGAGGAGATCCAGCTGTATATATATAAAGTGCAACGGGCAGAGAAAAGGTACGGAATCCCACCGTTTCTTTTTGAACTCCCACCCACCCACCTACCGACGGAGAAGATTTACCACGGATGAAAATCCGAGTCACACACACATTGCGAGAGTCGAGACTGACCCAAGAAGCTGGACGGACCACTGTGGAGTGGAGAGAAACGCAAAAGTCCTACCAAAGGTTCTCTATTGCGCCTTTTCGGCCTTCTCTCACATTCTCCGATGCAGCCATAAGTCGAGCGAGGCATACGTAAGTAAGATGGGTGTTAGCAGTCCGCTCGAGAATGAAACATGGTCCGTAGCAACAGTTTGGGAAGGAAGGGTGATTGATGGCAAGCACGATGCTGTAAAGTAAGTCAGTCATGGAACTTTGGTGTTGAAGTGTAATGTATATCGAGGTCGGAGATATTAAGCGGATGAGGTGAGGTGAGGTGACGTGACGTGCCAGCAAAGCCGTTTTTCTGGCACGTTTTGTCTTCCCAATCCCCCCCACACTACCAGAAAACGTTGTTTCCACCGTCTGCGGATGAGCATGTGTGGTAACCGCCGAAAACCTAATACCTGGCATGGAGTTCCGAAAAGAGAGCAATGAAGATAGATATTGGACAGTAGTGGAGGGATTGGAAAGTTGTAGACGATCAGGGTATCATTTGCGCGCTAAAATTACAAATATCGTACACGCAGAGGCATGTCCAAGCCTCTCAACTTTTCCCTCCTCTCCAGGAGCAATATTAAGTAGTAATCATGTCGTGCCCGACCGCGAAGCGACCAGCGCTCCGTTTAAAACGTGGCGAACGTGGTCGGAGTCGAAAGCATCCGTCTCCGACCCACTGCCATACTTGTCTATCAAAGCCAACTCCATGGCTCAATGCAATCCATTCCAAGCAAGCGTACAATAGGAAATCCGTCATGATCATCAAGTCTCTGTCGAGAAGTCTCCCGGGTGTTGAGTGTATTCAGCCGGATTCTGAGTATATTCGGCCGGGTTTTGGCTGTATTCGGCTGCCATGCTGTAGTTTCCAGCGATTTCAACCTCCAGCTCAATTGCTTTGTCGCGGCATGCACCAGCAGAAAAGCCGTTTCCGACTTTGCCCGAGATGATGCGCCAGCGGTCGTTGTCGTACTCTTGAATCGCCATGCGCAGCTTATGGACCTATGAAAATTGCCAGTCAACAAGGTGATCGCTACATAGCGTGTAGGATGTCACTTACCATGTCGTCAGTCCATATCGTTGTCTTAGCTTTCAGTTTGGTGCAATACCGCACTTGCAAAGTACCCGAACTTCTTCCCGGGAAGAAATCAGCAATCTGCTTCCAGGTAAGGTTCTTCGTTTCTTTAAGCTCCACAAGCAAACCATCGTCTTCAGGGGTGAACTTTAGCTTCGGTCCCTTGGGTCGAACCGCTGGAGCCGGCATGCCAGGTTGTCCGACGACACTTGGAGGTCCAAGAYCGTCATCGTCGTCCATTACGGACCCACCCTCGCTGGGCGAGGTCCTCCGCATCTTGTTTGGCGGTTGCTGATTCGGCAGACGGTGATGATGATGCTGCTGTTGTGCTTGGTTGTGTGACGCAGACTGCGTAGACACATTCTCGAGAGATTGCTGTGTTGATGGTCGTCGCGAAGCCGGGTACTGGTACATCGATGCTCCAGGTTGATGCTGTTGAACAGGGATAGCAAAATCCGCAGGGCTGTGTGTCCCCCTGCTCATAGAATGGGTCTGCAATTGCTGGATGCCTTGATAATCGTACTCGTATTCCTCCTGGAAACTGCGCTTGCGACTAGGCGGCGCAGTTTGTTGATATAGCCCCGGCTGGGGGCTCTCATACGGGCTGGAATAGTGCGACGGTGCTACCTGAGAGAGCTGTCGAGGTTGTTGCATGGAGGAGAACTGGGTATGGTCGAGACGAGCACTCGGTGCCAGCGTGTAAGAAGGCTCCGGTGCTGAAATCTGCGACTGTATGATCGACGACGGCTCATACTGTGGGTAGTCCGACACCGATTGCGCCTGAGGTGGCTGCAAGTACGACGGCTGAAATGAATGAGCCAGTATTTGCTGGTATTCGGCACTCGTCACCGGGGAGATGACGGCGTTGCTTGTGTTCTCATGACTAGGCCCGCCAAAGTCGAATGAGAACTCGTGGAATGATCGCGCCACGACTGCCAGTTTGCATGTGAGGCTGCCAGAGCACTCTGCTCGGGCAGCGTGGGAAATCCCGTAAGGTTGTTGGTTAGTGATAGCGACGGGCAACGACGTGATGTCGTTGATGGTGTGGTATCAAAGCGCCAGGCTTTGGGGGTATATGAAACTAGGAAGGGTATTACAAGAACAGATCAGATGCAGGCATTAATGAAGGTCGTATGGTCATAAGACGTGAGCAAGGAAAAGACCGCACTCATAAAAGATATCTGGGGAGGAAAGTCGGCGCGAAGGATATGCCATTGTACTTAAGGGCATGCACGATGCAAGATGACATGGCGCCTGCTTCCACACCCTTCTCCATCCGTGCAGAACGTTCACCTTCGAAACCGCGCGCCCTCGCGTGATCGCCACAGTGGCATACACCCGCAAGAAGAAAGTGACGTGATGACGGGACAGGGTCGTCGAAAATATGCGTAGCCCGAATCGTGAGGGCAACTCTAAGGCCCGGTGCCTCGGCGTCTTATGCAAGGAACATCATGTAGATCCACGGGAACGCAGTCCGGTAGGTGCTATTGTCGACGTCGTACCGTCTTCGCATTCGTCGCTTGGGGATGAGATCATGCAGGGCGTCCGTACAGCAAGAGGAAAGTTCGGAAGACCCTTCTCTAGAAGAGACTAGAAGACGACCCGCCTTGGGCACGGTCGGAGCGGCGATCTGAGCAAGCACGAATATAGCAGGGATTTTATCCCAACACGGACCTCATGGTTCACAATGCTGGCCATTGACCGTGCGGTGAATCGGGCCATGTGTTCTGGAGAAGAACGTATGTTCCATCACTGCCGCCACGGTTCTCCACGGTTCGAGGACAAGGGACGGCTGGTGTGACAGTATCGCATCAGTGTTGTCATAGAAAGTGCAAGTGAGGATCTCGGACTCGTCGCCGTCCGGTGCAGCGATAGTGAATTCGGCGCATGGCAATCAGGCAGAATGATGGCGGAGATCTTGACGTATGGCTCGAGGGTGGAGCACACAGGGTCAAAATCGATGCAGGGCAAATGTCGATGAATCTCCGTATTGGGCGATATAGCACCAGGATACGCAACCTGGACGATTTTGACTGCCAACGCGAGTTTCTCAACAGTGCGATGACCAGCGGCGGACCTCATCGCCATGGAGTCAACGAGCTCCTTTCAAGGCTTTCAACAATTTCCTGCTGATGAGTAAGCTCATGTAGTTGGATCCACGCCATCAGCCATTTCGCCGCACAAAGGGCGTTCTTGTTCTTGGAGCAGCGCGGCTGTTTTTGCCCAACGGCTAGTTTGCCGTCAGCAATGACTCGCGCTCCAGCCCACGACTCATGGGCGAGAAGATCGGGTCTGGGCTCCGGACTTGTCATCGTCCTCTTTGTTTCACGTGGTCTGCGCTGAGCTGCCAAATGTTTGGAAATAGCTGAAGGAAATGGTGTCGGTGTAGCGGTGGGACCAGGTGATGTCGAAATCGAAATCTTTAGTGCGGTGCCCATGTTTCACCACCACCTGAAGCACGCCCTCTTTTTCCGACTTCACATTCTCGACCAAAAGTGATTATTTGCCACAATGTATTAGCACGGCACCGCATCGCTTCTTGTCCGCGCGTGTACAACGAAGTAATAGCGGTTGGTCGCGACGCATACCGCGATAAAAGCCCATGCCCATGTCCAGCCCGTCGTCTAGCCGAATGGTCCCGAACCCGGCTAGAACTATGCCACTTGTGATTCTTCTGCTCAGCGATGAAGCCCAATTCCCGTCCGYCCAATTCCACAATCACCACCAGGACCAAACGAACGCTGAACGCCGAAACACCTCGCCTTGATGCTACACAGTACCAGCGGAGAAAGCACAACACACTGGCTCGGCACATGTACCCCTACTATGCCACTTTCACTTCGGACATAACTGTCGAGCAACGGACGAGCAATAGAAGATCGCATTTACCAAGCACGAGCGCATCCACTCGGCGCCATCGGTTGGAGACAAGGACATTTCATCGCTCCTCAGATCTTCCAGCCTTGCTCTTTCGCAAACTGTTCGCACGCCTGCGCGGTGTCAGTTCATCCAATGCAGTGGAGAATGAGAGGCTTAGAGGTTGCAAACGTACCTTGGCCGGTTTGCCCACCTTCTGCCCGATGACCTTCCACTTATTGTTCTCGTAGTCCTTGATGGCCTGTAGCAGCGCCGCACTCTGTACACGCCGTCAGCTTGGTCGATTCTAATATCGAGAGTACAAAGTGAGGCGGACGAAATTGCTGACYTCGTCTTCCGCAAACTCTGCATAGTGCATGTCCTGTGAGCAAGACATGTCAGCGTAACGCTTCCACCCTGACGGTGCGCTTGTCGACTCAGGCGACTTGYCTTGTACCAATGTTTCTTAACACTGCCCTCGGTCCGCAGTGGAAATGTTTTTGCAATCTCACTCCAGCTACTACCGGCGTCCCGGAGGGTCTTCAGCCGTTGCTCTTCCGCTGGGGTCCACGGCGTGTTCGTGCGCCCCTTTTTTGCAACTACTGGACTCGTCAGAGGCTGGTGCTGAGAAGGTCCCCCCAACGTCTGGTCCAAATCGGCCATGAGGCCTGTCGGGTTCCCAAATACGCTCGCATTGCTACTGGAAGAACCGGGGAGATCTCCCAGCTCAGACGCGCGTCGCTTGCGCAGGTTGAGCGGGGAGTGTTGTTGTTGTTGTAGGTGCTGCTGTGGCTGGTGCTGATGCTGCGCTTGAATGTGTTGCGGCCTATACCCCGACGGTGGTGGGAATGCGAAGCCGGACGGATCATGAGGGTTCGGGACATAATAGTTGGTGTGCTGATATGGGTTTGGTATCCCTGCATTCGATTGCAGATCCGAGGGCAATGTGAGCTGAGAAGGAGATGCTGAATAGGCGTTCTGGTCCGGTAGTGAAGGTTTCAGGTTGCGCTGCTGGTCGGGAGAATTATTGCTAATGATGTTGTCGTTAGTGTACATGGTTCTGGGTGTTCAGACAGCGTGGGCGACCCGCAGGCCGATGTCTCAATTACAAGGACGCATGCGTGGTAAGGTGGGCCCGCGAGTAGAGTGGGTCGCTGCCAGCTAGAGAGACGTACGACATCGCGGCAGTAGTGCCGCTGGCTTCCCAGAAAGAGCTACTTTGCGGCATGTGTTGTATAATGTAACGGCCTGGAGGGTATTGTATGCATGGCTCTCTCATCAGCAGTCTTGCGATGTAGACATTGGCCAGCGACAGTATGCCGGGCTTGTGATCGTCCAACTCGGCTCCAATAACAGCGAGTGCGCGCTGTGATACCTCAAAGATACAAGAGTGGCGCAATATGGCGAGGAAGCGCCGCTGGCGACGGTTGAGGAACTGCGTGCGAGGTAGTCAAGTGACGAGTGTCAGAAGTAGGTAAGCTTTACAAATGCGGAGAGGCGGTCGTGACAGCTCCGCTTCACAGGAAGCTGACTGGTAGGAGCAGCGCAGAGAAGTAGTCCCAGGCTGCCTGACATGGTCTAAAGCCTGCACAAGCGATCATGTCGATGGGGCTCGCGCGAACATGCGGGCGGCAGGCTCAGCCCACGGGCGTGCCAGCTACAAACGGCACACTACAGTGTCGTATGAGGCGCGAAGTAACTCAAGATTGACCATCCAGCGTGCAGATAACAGCTCTAGGACCCTTGGATTGACATCCTGGGGTGGAGGCTGCATCCGAATGCGTGCGGGGTACCGACCGCCCGTTGACTAGGATGCACCACGCACGAGGCTCGGACAGCAGCCGTCGCCAAAACCCCAGCAGGCGCAAGCTTGCATTCAATTAACGTTGGCGCAGGGATGCAAGCAGCAAGACGGACAGCACCCTGGGAGATAAGGTGCAGTTCGTCGACGTCGCAGCGGCTACAGGTCTTGTCAGTCTCGATTTCCTCGGACTGATGAAAGCGACAGCACAGCAGCGCGACCGCTCGCACAGCGGGGTATGCATGAGGAAGAAGCACGCCTGAGCGCGTGACAGCGGCGCCGGTTCGTGGGCATAACAAGATGATCTCTTGCACAACTCATATAGCCGAGGGTCCAGGAATCGCTGACGTACCTTGGCGATCCCTGGAAGCCCACAAAGCTCCCATCTGTTCAACCTTCAAGGTATCGTTCATCCTTGTGAGAAGTTCACTTCACAGCAACAAGCGCTGTGTTGAACAAGGCCTGGGACGCGGTGTTTTTGTGAAGTTCTGAATTCGCACCGCGCCATATCAGTCCGCCTGATTTGGATGAGCTTGTTAGCAGGTGTCTGTGGCAGAGCCTCGGGCGGAGACTTTGCTATCAAACTCTCCCAGTCATGAATGTTCGGATCAACATTCATCAGCCGCAAGATGAACCGATCGGGCAGTTCACCAGATTGTGAAATCGCAACACGCTTCACAACCAGCTAACTCCAGTGAGAACACAATCGTGGCTATAGTAAGACATCGTGTGGCAGTTGTGGATCAAGATGCTTTCGGTGTCTTAAGGTTTCTCGATGCTGCTCGATACAGATTCTTTCAGGTGTGCCACCAGCAGGTCCAGAAAAGGAAAGATTTGTAGGCTTCTCGAGTGTGGCATTCTTTCTACATGAAAGATCTGTGGACGTGCTGTATGCCAAGATTTGCGATACGTGGGTATGTTCGCCAGCGAGATCCGACATAGCTCAGCCCTGTGAAGCCAGCGGGCTTGCTTCAGCGTCACGCTCAGTATCAGCATCTCAGGCCCATCGAACTGCCATTCGTCGGGAGCCAGGTTGCTTGAACCGTAGCAGCAAGTCTGTGCGGTTTCCGTGCAGGCTGATATTTCGGCGGGCGTGGTGGAACGCGATCGAGCCAGTTCTGTCAACTGCGCGTGCGACAGCTGATTTGCTTCAATCGTCAGCCTCACATCAGACGACCAGGCTCATTGTTCCATACCGTCCGCTCATTTGATGCCCTCCCTCCATCCGATCGGCACGAGTGCTGCGGCCACTTGCTGCACACCCCGCTCGGTGGCCAACATATTGTATTGTGCGGCAGCATTTCTCGTGTCTTGCACCTCAATTCTCACTCCCAACTCGTTAATTTGTGCTCGAGTCTCCGGGCTGATCGGAATAGTGCGGATCCCTGTCCCTAGGATGAGGAGATCTGGCTTCGGCCACGCCAGATCTAGCACGCCCCAAGCATGCTTTTCGACGTCCCACTGGCCCTTACTATTCTGCAACTTGCCGCCCAGACGTTGAACGCCCTTGCTGTCGTCACCACCGGCGCCATCGCCTATCGGGCCTTCTTTTTGGCCTGCACGGATCCATGGTCTCCATTTGAAAGCTTCGCCGCCGACCAGCAGAACACCGGCACCAGCAATCTTCAGACCAGAATCAAGCGCAAAGCCATCGTCCATGCATGCGTCGACTGCGGTCGTCGGTACCGGAGTATTTGAAAGGATGTTCATTGCGCCGAAGTCTGTCYGTGTATCTTCCTCGCTCTTGGGGCCTCGATCTCGGGACTTTGGAGCTGCATTGAGCGCTGCCGAAGAATGGATTGATCTCTGTGCTTCAACGACCCTCGGGTGCACGCATGTTGTCCGCAGAAATGGCTGCACTCGAATCGTAGATGGAATTCCAAAGGTTGACGAGCTGCAGGTGGATGAGAAAAGGTGAGCGGATCGTCGGAGCGAATACATCCTTTGTATTATCAGTTCTCCCGTAGAAAGTTCTCGATGTTCAGTTCTCGATGTGGTATTGCTATCCCTCTGAATATATGTACTGTTGGTTCTCGGGCTTCCGAGTTGGCGCGAGGCGGTGTAGTTGAAGAGTTCAGGCGCTGGGTGGACTTGGAGGTGTAGGATTGGCTGTTGGGGCAAAGTGTCGTGAAGTTGAACGTGATACTTGGTGCGCAAGGTAGCTCCAAAAATGGCGGCTAGAACCACTAGTCACGAATGAAGAGAGCGTCATACAAACATCAATTTCGCCATCAATATCAAAGTCAATGCAATCGAACCTAATTCCGCTACCCAAACCCTAACCCTGTCGCGCAATCACAACCGCCGGTGACACTGAAGGTTGCCGCTCCTTGTAGTAAACCGATGACAACGCATATGAACCGGTAGCTACAAGCACAGAAAGCAGTAGCCTTGCGGAGAGTCAAATACGGGGGATCGCCGTTGTTGTTGGAAACACAAGATTCTATCAATTTCACTGGCCCTTTGACAAAATCGACGACAATCAACGATTACCACAGAGATCATGATGAAAGACGCAGGAACCAGAAAAATCCCCATCAAAAAACCGAAACTGAGTTGCACGGCTTCATCACAGAGCAGCAAATTCAAAGTCGCCGACGTTGCGTTCGACGTCAAACCGCAAAAGGCGTCAAGCAGGAAATCAAAGAGACCCATCATGTTCGACTCGTCAAAGATTGATTCCTCCTTCCTGGATCCTCAGCTTATCGAGCGGAAGCAGGCCGCCGCGGCATCAGAGAGGCGTTGATGGTAGAGTTGCTTCAGTTCTTAGAGGGAGGTGCTACGGACGGGAGGGATAGACAGCATGAGCACATGACAACCGAATGCATCATGCAAATGATGATCAATCGTTTGATCGGTATGTATACACTAGGTGAAACAATCGCCTTCAATTCTTCTTCGCATCACATTTCCCGTGACCCTCATCACAAAATGCCCAGCCCATCGCTTCGCCATACGCCGAAAGATCGCTCACTCCTCGCCATTCTCAGGCCCGTCCCAAAGGTATCTCCCGTGTACATACACGCTCAAGCCAAATTGTCACTCCGATCAACCCACACGTCCTCCAGTTCCGCAAAGTTCYGGAAGTGAATCGGTCGATGAACATCGTCGTAGAATCTCCGAGGTACTCCCACATTCACCCACACCTTTGCCTTCTCACGCTCGCTGAAGCCGCTGCCGAGGAAACTCCAGTTCCATCGCTCGTCCTCGGGGACCAAGAAGTAGCCGCGGATTTTGTCGGACAGAAGCAATTGACTCTTCTCACCGAGCGAGTTGTTGAACCCAGCAGGCTGATCAGATCCCATGTCCTTGTTCTCAGCTCCCCACTGGTAGCCCTGTGGCGTCAAAGACCATGCCGAGAGCGAGACCGAGCCCGGCGTGAAGTTCACGGTCATGGTCACAGTCTTGCGATCCCATGATGGATGTGCAGCCATGAGCTTGGCATGCTGTGTGACGTCCTGGGCTGTCATGTAGTTCGTCTCGTTGCCTGCGCTAGTGTGAATTACTCCGAGAGGCTCAAGACCATTGAGCATCTCATTCTCCGGGAGGTTCTTGGGTAGTTGAACGTCACGCGTACTGCCGACTTGAGGTATCATGACGATACATTTGATCTCCTTGACCTGCTTGTTGTCCGCAGGTGATGTGCCGTACAGGTATCCGGCAACTTGCACTCGGAGATCGGCCACGGCAATGAAGCGCTTGAGAATGTTCTTCGGCATGACATACGTGAAGTGATGCTCGTCGTCTCGAATGTCTTCAGAGGAGATGTAGATGTTGTTGGCGCGAGTGCGGAGATTGCTGGTCGCAATGGCACGAGTGCGCCATTCCGTCTTGGAAGCAAAGCTCTGCTGTTCGTAGGCGGAAGTGGTGGTCACGATCATATCCTCACCCGCAGCATTTTGGGTCTTGGTAGTGACGGCTGTCAACTGCTGCTGGTCCTGTTGTTGCTTCTCGATCTCTGCGGCTTGTTGACGCTGCATGCTTGGCGCGCTGATCTCCATACCGAGAATGATATCTCGGATCTCGGAATTGGTGAGCGACGAAGTGTTGACATTGTTCTTCTTTCCGTAATCATTCAGGATCAAAYCGCGAAGTTGCACTTCCACCTTCACCCAATCATCGTCCGTAAGCGTGGGCCAGATATGATGCTCCTGCGTGATGACGGTCTTGTCTGGTCGCAGTAGCAGCTTCGTCTTATCCTGGTTGACGTGAAGAGCACGCAAGATGAGAATGAGACGAGAGAAAGCTGTGTAGGATGAGATGCTCTTCAACCACTCATCGTACAAGTTGAAAAGCACCATCTGCGGCTCAGTTGCGCGCAGAATCATGTCTCCGAGCTTCTCGACCTTCATCGCAGCTTGGAATGGCAACTGAAGTTCAGAGGCACGGATACTGATGTTGGGGAAATCCAGCAAATGCACCTCGAGAGGATCAAGAAGACCCTTTCGAGTGACAATGAGCTGTTTCGGTTGTTCTTCCACTGGCAACGATCGGATAAGTGCGGCAACTTCCTCGGCCGTCTTCCACTTGGCCAGCTGACCCAAACGCTTCTGACCAGCCCATACACTTGTGTGAATGATCTTGAGGAAGAGTTGTCCGGTGCGAGGGTTGAAGATAAAGATGGCACCGTTGATTGGCTTTGTTGTCAAGTTACCCTCAAAGGTCTTGTGGATGGTGACACGGTAGACGTTCGTGTCGTCGATGAAGAGCTGGATCTGGTTACTGAACAACTCGGAGTAGTTCTGCGAGTTGAGGAACTCTTGATTGCTCTCAGAAGCGTAAAGCTGAAGACCCTTGCGGATACGCTCGCGTAGCACATACAGCGCMGGGTTCGCTTTCATGATCTTGGCCATAGCCTGCTGCACAAGCTGCTTCAGACCAGGGAAGTAGGATCCGTACGCCGAGTAGAGGTTGTATGCCAGATCGACACCGATCATCAACCCAGTCGCAGATGGGTAGATGGACATACTGTCAGTCGTGTAGTCCAGGTACTTGGCGCGGACGTATCGCTCAATGTCGTGCGAGTCGTAATCTCCGTATCGCAGCTGCACATCGATCCAGAACTTGTYGGTGGAAGTCATGCTCATGCCGTCCTTGGTGTCGTAAAGCAAGCTGGGATTGCTCACGCTCCACTTGTGAGACGCGAACAGGAGGATATCAGCACAGGACGAGTTCATCTTGTAACTCTTTCGGGGATGAATTGTTTCCTTCTGAACGGTCTCGATGCCGAGCGCTTCGAGTTCCTGGTCAAAGACCTGGCACAAGTCCATGACGACGGACTCGTGGATCTTCTGCCACAAATGTGCACGGAAGATCTGGATGAGCGAGATCTTCAATGTAGGAATCTTGCCGTGGAGGAAGATGCCGGTCAAGTCAAGCTGGACCTGGAAACCAACATACACGTTCGCACGGTTGATTGTTGGACTCCACCAAAGCGTAAAGCGACGGTTAGGAATCTGGTTCAAACCAGAGCGCTGCGCGTTGGTTAATTTTTTGTACTTCATACTCTCTTCGAATCCAGACGCTTTCTCCTGCATAGGAAGTTAGTACGTGTGTTACAGGAGGTTAGAAGGG